GAAATCAGTGTTAAGGGACAGAGGACAAAACACTCATTGATTGTGGTAAAAATCTGAATTAACAACCCTCCTCTCAGACTACTAACGTATTAATTCTCTACATTATCAGTTGTATTCACAGAAATTATTGGCATACAGTTACAACACTCTCATAAAAGTCATATTTTGATTAGAATTGGTTTGGGAGTGCCATGTTAATTTAAAAAAAAATGCAACATTGGACTGCTAAATCTGTAATGTCCTATATGTGCTGTGACACAATGGAGAGTGTAACTGTTTCATGGTGTGAATGAATGTCTTGATAACAGGGGAAGACTGGCCTGAAAATAGAACTGTCATCATCTGCAGTGCGGCATTCATAGATGAGACATTTCTTCTCCCTTCTGCTCTTAACAAAGCCCAACTACTTGACAGCAGTGAATGTATTGTGGGGCCGATAGGGGGAACTTACAACACATGTAGAAATACCTACAGTACTTGAGCCACTTTCTGACATTTTTTTTTCCAGTTGTCTATTTCAGATGTTAATGACCATTTAAAGTGTATTCCTCCCTTTTATCTCAAGGCTGTATATAAAGCTCTGAAAGTTTTGAAGAAATACAAGCACGTGTTAATAGTCTCTTAAAATCCATGATTGCATTTAGCTAATAGGTAGTTTAATTAGGTATTTGAGAGCTCTGGTGGAATGCAACCCTATAACCACTCCACCCCTTAAGAACTGGGGAGTTGCACATCTGCTTTAAATCCTGTTGATCAGGACTTTGATGGTGTGTTTAATAAGGACTGCAGTGTGTGTACAGTATATTCTTTTGGAGACTTAGTTATGCCATGAATTTTTGAACTCATTGAATTTATTTCTGCATAATTTTCTACTATAGTTGAACAGTTTAGGTCAAAAGGTTGCATTGACAAACCTGTGTTTAGTCAGAGTCATGACAAAAGTGCATTCACATATTACAGTGTGTTTCAGAAAAGTTCTTCTGGATTGAGTTATGCAATTGAAATTGATGCATAAATATTGAGACAGCTTCCCTCCATTTTCCTTAACTGTTTGGTTTAATGCAGGGTCTCGCTGCAATGCTTATCTTTGATTTTAGTTTCAAAATGGAGTTAAGAAAATCGTGCACGTTTTTTTTAGCATGACATTTAGAACCGCTGCAAATGAGAAAGTCTAACTTACGAGTTCATTTTTTTTTTAGTGGAGTGGTAAATCTTGTCTGACTAAGTAATCCATCAGACATTACTTATCGGTGGCAACCGTTTACATAGAGCTGTGCAGATCAAGCTGATTAGACATGACTTGTCCCAGTCACCCAGACTGGGCTTTGTGGTGGCTATTGTCCTGTTGTCTGGGGATTGTTTCTGGTGAGCTAGATGTCACCAGTGGAATTTGGTGCTAGAGAGACAGTTAAAAGTTAACGATAGAAACGCTCTGCTGGGTGGGAATCCTAATGCATCCACCATGCACTGATATTCATCGCCATGTATCATGTACAGTCCACGAGGAACCAGCAGCGCACAGCGATTAAAAAGCACATTGCCTTGCCTTTGCAGATCGCCTGTTTATCTCCATCCAATGAAAGTAACGTCAGAGAAACTGAACAGCACAACCACCCAGATTGAGCCCCTAGATCAGGGGGAAATGATGATCTGACAGTTTTTCCAGAACCCACCATTACCAGTTTATATAATTTTTTCCAAAAATACGTTTTTAATTTGTTAGTAGTTGACTTTATTGTCTTTGTTTTTGAAGTGCTACCAAAAGCCACAAAAGAAGGGTAAAAAACACCAAAAAAAAACTTAACAAGCTGTAATTAGGTTTCTTTCTGGCTTTATAGGATTCTAGTTAAGGAGAGTTTTCCTCACGGGGGCTAAATTTAAACTTTCTCTGCACGCTACACATGCCTTTCTTTTGTACACTGCGCAGAAAGACAGGTCTTAGTTTTTCTAAGTGGTGGTTGAGAAGGGGTCTTTTAGTTTCTCAGTCCCTAAAATTACAGAAGCTGTATATTATTTTAAAACACCCCGTAATTTACTGCATTGCATGATTATACTTCTAAAAATGTATAAAGTTCAAAAAGGAAACCCAGAAACAAGAGTGTGATACAAGTCATGGGCTTACATGTAAATCAAGTTGCAGAAATTATTTTTAAGTCTTTCGGGGTTCTAAGGTGAATTTAGAAGAAAAAAAACTCTTTCAAGCTCCGGAGCTGATGTGCTTACTGAAATGAGCACATCTGGTCACAAAACATGGTGGATACATCAAAATCTCCCATGCTCCTCACAGACCTGCACTTACATTGAGCCTCGAGTAGTCATTACTCATCAAGGTGTTGCCAATAAGGCTTTGGAGTGGATGACCAAGCCTTCAAGTAGAGGTCAACAGGCACGGTTTACTTGAGCTGTACCGCACTCTGCAAAACATGTTATTGACTTTTCAGTGGCCAGAGATTTCCATTATTCTAACCCTCAAGCATTCTAGATGGGTGTTAGGCCAAATGTGTTATCTGGGTAGACCTCACAGCTGGAAACCGAGAACTTCTGTCATACTTTCTAAAGGTGGGTAGCCAACCAGGGATTGTCTGACTTGTTGTTGCAGGCGATTATTGTGGAAAACAGTGATTATAAGGTCCTGGCTTGATGCCTATGCTGTATATATGTGTGTGTGTGAGTGTAATACAGGGAGACAAACAGCGTAGAGCATCTCTCTTACATGATGACTGTTGTATTATTATGGAGTACCATACCATGAGGCTGCGCGGGCCAACTCTCATTATCTCTTTGGCCGTTTTAATTTGTCTTCAATGCACATAAATGGTAAACTGTGATGATTATGTTGGGCAGTGTCTTGGCATAGGAGGTGGAGCCTAGTGATGAAGGGATAGTATAAGTAAAGATAGTTTGGTCCCAGGCAGGTAGTCTTTAGCTCCTGTCTCTGAACTGTGATTGACTCTGCTCCAAATTCCACCACACATCTGGTGCTACGGGGGGCAGCAAAGACATAACATAGAGCTCTGGGGTAGGTTTGCTTTTTTAATTCTTGTCTGAATATCTGCAGAATAAATATATGTATTATATACGGTATGTGTGTGAGCAAGTTAAATACAAATCTTACTTATATCCTCCATCAGCTAAATTCTTCTAGAATATTTAATTTATTTCAAAATAATATTTCAAAATCATTTTCTTTTCAATAAATATATTTAGTATTAATATTGTTTTTTTTATCCTTTCAGGTCAATTGCACAGTTTCAAGTAGCTTTTGCAGTAACAATGTTCCTTGATTCATTTTTCTTTCAGGTTAATATTGAGTTTTATATAGTTCTCTAGAGTATATTTCAAAATCATTTTCTTTTCAAACTATATATTTAATATTAGTTTTGAATTTTCTGTCCTTTTTAGAACCTTTAAGGTGTAGTTGCACAGAGTTATTAGTTGATTTTGCTAAAAACAAAGTTCATTCATTCATCTTTTCCTTTAAGGCTGAGATTCTGTGGCAAATCTTTCATTGTTTTTTCACAAAGCATTAGAAGGAAAACATTTTATGCACATTCACAGTAATAATGGCATTCAAAATCCCTGTGCCTGTATTATCTACAGATGAGCTGTTTTTAAAAAACTCTCTTTCTCCATTGATTAGGTTGTTTTTTTGTAGACTACACATCTTAGGCACATGATGATTCATTAAAAGAATTATGAATTGTTTTTTTTTATAAATTAACAATATTATTTTTGTTTATTTTTAAAGCTTCATTATTAATGCACAGTACGTATCACAGGTCTAAATCACAGTATTCCAAACTTTGTATTTTCCTTTAAGACAAGCTGCTGTTGAAAGATTGTAATTTATGTCAATCCTCAATATCCAATGTTAATAGTTTCTATTTAAAATCCTGAGCGAGTAACGTGATAAATGCCCAAAGGGTGTCTCGCTGTGCTTTACCTCAAATGATCTTTGTCTTTGACTCAGGGCAATGATGGCTGCCTTTCAGACAATTTGCTCAGTTCAATTTGCATGATTCGAACCCATTCCAGTTGGAGTGAAACCCTGACAGGCATGCTTAGGAAGTGCTGTATTAACTTGCACTTCAAACATTCCAGAGACATATGGTTTGAGCACCTTAACTTGCATTTAATTATACGTCTGATATCAATCTTCCTAGGCAGGCTGAGGAGATGTTTAAGCAATGACAACTTGTGCACTGTTCATTCAGATGGAGGCTGCTGTGGACCTGTTATTTGCTGGGGTGTCAGTAATAAGGTGCTATAGCATCTCAAACAATTGGGCTTCTTAGTTGCATTGGCACTGTAGGATGGATCTCTAATCACATAAGCCACTGTTCTGATTCATTTTTCTTTTTTTAGAGCTGACTCTATTTTAAGGCCCTGTTGTGTGAGATCCCAATATAACCTTGCCTGCAAAACTTCTAAAAATAAATATATAAACAGAAAACCACTAAACCATTAAACACGGAATTCCACCTCCTCCTTTGTAACCCCAGAGTGTTCTGTATTTATTTTCACCTTGCAGAGGTATATCTTATCAGAGTTTTTATGATGAGTTTTTTCCACACTTACTGGGAAGTTTTAGATATCTTTGAATGACTTCTGCTAGCACTCTCATAATACTCTTCCACACTCCAGTACTGTTCAAAACCTCAACCATGTGAGACATTTTTACATTATTCTTGGAAATTTTCTGTTTAAAGTGGAGGATCTTAAGATTGGGTTATCCAAACATGCATAAAATTTGCAATAAATAATATTAATGCATACTAAAGAGAGAAATGAAGACTAAAGATTAGGGTGATAGCAAACCTGTACTGCTCTGTTTGTGACAAACATTTCTCTGACCTCTGGTTTAGGTCCTAAACTTGGGTTCTTTTCTGTGTCAGGGATCCAGCTGAGAAATGTCAGAGGATAAAACTATTTGCAGAACTTTCGTCTGTCAGATAACCTTCTCCCTTCTTCATGTATCTGCCCCTTTCTCTGCTTTTCAGATCTTATGGTCATAGAAGATTACCTTGAAGATGATGAGGAACCACCTTCGTTGTTCAACTCTCTTCTTTCTCACAGTAAGTTTCCTGCGTTCATATTGCATTGCTGCCATGAGTTTTGAATACAGATTGAGGCGTTAAGAATCTCTCTGATGCTTCTATGAGTGAGCTCTGGGTATATGCTTTAGTTTAATACTTACATTTTGCTAAATCACAGATCCAGATTTTAACTGTAAAAGCTGGGGTCACTTTGCATACTTTTTTTCTCACTGTGTTCTGATGTAATTGATGTCTTCTTAAAATTAACTGCTCCCTTTTTTGGGGGAAGGGGATTATTTAATTAGTGCAGGGTTACTCAGATTGTAGCCCCACAAACCCATTCCATTTCAGAATTTTTCTGCAGCTAGTTGCAATTATTTCATTTATTTGAATTGGAAACTAGAGGATATTTATATGTGTCTGGTTAAATCAACATAGTGCGATGGATTGAGCTGGAGATCCTGCAAGTTGAGTAGCCTTACTCCTGTGCATAGCTTTAACAGGGATCTGAGGCTCCTATCTCATGATGTGGTTCAGGGTCAACAGAGTTCATTGGTATTTCAAAGCTGTAAGTAAGCTACAATAGTTTATGGGGAGACTACAGTGCTTTGCATCTTGTCAGTCCTCTTCAGTTGCTACATATTTAACCCTACTAAAACACACTAACAAAAATGTTAGTCTTTTTGTCTCGCATTCACTTTTTTATTTTGACTCTTTTCTCCTCACATAAGTCACAGTTAGCCTACGTTTATTCCATATGGGGGCATATAAAGAGGGTTTTGAGGGGCTGTACATACATCACTGTTTCCCTGACAGCTGCTCTGTGGATTGGACCACAGCTCACAGCAGAGGGAAGACTTGTTGACGTTGTCTGACGTTGCTGAAGTGACAGCCTCAGCTGATACCCCTTGACCTTTCCAGCACAATCAAATTAATTCTGTTGTAAGCGCCACTTAATTAAATCGGCTTTATCCTGGATACACAAGGACTTGGGCTTGCAGTGGACTGTAACTGGGGGTCATCTTCTGACTTTTGACTTTTAATGGGTGTTTAAGGAATTAAGACCCCTTTCTGAGGCCCCCAGTGTCATGTTTTTTACTGGCCTCCCGATTAGCGCGGCAGCAGTTTGCTGAGAGAGAATTATTTTTTTTTTATTTTTGCTTTGTGAACTTAACAAAAGGGCGCCCACCACAATCAAAACAAGCCGGGGACTTTAGAAATGTACGTGACTGTTGTGTAACACTGTTAATGCAGCTGGCTGGCATTGATCATCACAATACACAGGAAGGTCTCTTAAGGTTAAAGGACCTCCCTAAATCTCTGTGTTCCTTCTTTTTACTTTTCAGTGTGGAATTAACTTTTACTCATTCCAGCATTAATCCATGATATGATTGATAGAAGACAATGGCACAATAAGACAAGTTCTCCGTCATTCTGTTGACTCTCGGGAAATGTGCTGCCTTTCAACATTCGCCAATTCAGTGGGAAATCTGAGATTCACAAAAGAGATTGAGGGTGGCTGCTCTCCGGAGGATGTTACTGGGAGCTGCAGTGAGGCTGATGATAGTGTTCCCTGTGAGTGCCCATAGTCTCTGGGCCCGTGGTTCTCTCTGCCCTTGAGGGTTTGGAATGACCTGATACACTGATAACACAGATCAGACATTATATTCTCAAAGAATAAACAGAACAGTACAACATTAAACGTGTGAAGATCTTTGGATGATTGACTCAGAATGTAATTTATATCTTTAATTCTCTGATGTTTCAATAGCTAATAATAAATTAAATAATAACATTTCATTTTAATGGTATCTTTGAAGACTGATTGTTTTTTTTCCAGATGTTTGGGAACGGAATCATCCTTATCAAACTATAAAATGAAATAAATCAGTTTTCTTTTTATAAGATTACCATCCGTCGGTGGTAATGATGCAGTAGGGATTATGTCCATCTTTCAGCCAGTAAGTGAAAACAAAATTGCACAGTGCAGGATGAAGGTACTCAAAATATGTTATAACCTCTCTGTTTCAAAACTGCACCCAGAGAGTGTGTGGCGATGCATGGACTCAGGCAATACTGAAGCGCTTGGCTCCGGAGAATTCACAGCCCTCCCCCTTGTTGCTTTGCAGATGCTGAGCTGGCGGGGCTCCCTGTCACTGCAGTGTGGGAAAGGAGAGGTCCTGAGCAGCCAAGGTCTGTGTGTTCCCTGCCTGACCTGCCCCCAGGGACAGGAGCCTGACCGGGTGAGATCAAAGAGCTCCACCTCCAGTTTACACTGACTCGCCCCCGCCTTTATCATAATCACATCCTGTTTTCCCCTGTCAGGACATATTGCCTTTTACGAGATTAGTGATATACAGCTGGCATTTAGACATTTTTCCCTCAAGTAACAAAAAAAATCTCAGAGCACAAAGGCTGAATTGCAAGAGCACATAACTCGAGATGTACCGATATTGTTTGTTTATTTTTGTGTATAACACGTACACGGGCCAATTACGATCTCTTTAATGTCCTAATAAAATACTTGTGTGAAACAATCTGTATGGATTTACGAGCGAAAATACATTCGCCATGTATTGAGCCCCATGACCACAAAAACTGTATTAGATAAATACTGAGCGATATTCCAGTCTATAGAATATGAAGCCAGATGCACAGGACTTTGCAGAAAAGTTTTTATGGAGCTTTTGACTTTCTTGCTTTAAAAATCTAACTGCTGTTCGGGATGGTTTATTTGTAGGCCTGTGGTTTTGAGGATGCTCTGGGGTCAACGTGCAGGGCCTGTCCTGGTGGTACCTTCTCAGACAGGCTGGACGCCGAGCCCTGTAGGCCTCATACCCAGTGTCACACACTGAATCGCTCCCTCCTTCGTCATGGGACAGCGGAGACGGACACGGTCTGTGGAGAATGCTTGCCTGGGTATGTCAGAGTGTTTTTATCGCCATAAAACAAGCGTTAACAAGCAATTTACTCCCAGTTAATCGGTATGCAATGTGAAATAGGCAGAGCAGCGTCTGTGGTAAAAAGAAATTGACCACATGAAAAAAATGTGTACCCCAGTTATGAAATAGTTTTTTTTATGGTAGCCTCGCATGATTAAGATCTTTAAAAAATAGTTTCAGGCTTGCTGTCTGTTATCATGATACAGGAGAGAGAACGTGATCAGTGCACTGTAGGAACAGAAGTACTTTAAAGGTTGGAAATATGAATGGGTTGTTATGTTGTACAGCAGGAATAAAATCAATGAAGCAGAAGAACAAAAATGCAAATACCCAGCTATTGGTGTGGTGTATTTCTAAAACGATATATTTCTAATGGGCTTAGCCAGTGGACTGGTAGTTTGTAACACACTGGTTACACTTGTCACACTGGTTCAGGAACTCATTTCATTTTAAACTGATTTTTCTCATAATGTGTTGGAGTTTTTTTTAAATAAAAAAATGTTAAAAATCCATTATTGATACGCGAGTTATACATTGCTGGTAATTATAGGGTAGATGGATGCGTGGGGCTATTCCCAGGCCCGATTATGACCTGGATTTACTTGGCCATGTAGGTTCTACTCAAGTCAGATGGACCCCTCTGGTCTCAGCCCTTGTTTGAGCTGCAAGTTGGCACCCATAGGAACTTCTGCTTGTGAAGGCAAGTCCATTTTCTTTCTTTTACTGGTTATTAAACACCGAATCAGCTTTTCCAGTTAAAATAAATAACTTGCTTTCCGGAACGAGAGTATTGTACTGTAGGTGACCGTCCGTCGTAGAGGCATTTAGTCATGGGCCTTGATCCCACAATTTTTTTTTACATCGTTCACATTGTATTTAAGTGTTGAATTGCTTTTTTCTTTCGTGCTGTGTACGTGGGCGAGTGGGATTCTGTCACTGTCCGGCTGTAAAACGAGCACCTTTCCTGTGTGCGTCAAGTGTCGGCGAGTGCGACTGATTTAGTCACGGCTACATTTCGGCTGCCGCAGGACTTCCAAACCCCAGCCCGCGGTTGCCGAGGAGTGCTGGGAGCAGCGCCGCCAAGACGCCGGGCAAGCGCTCTGCCAACTCCACCAGCACGCTGACGGCCGAGGAGAAGACCACCGAGTACGCTGTGTTCGCCCTGGTGCCCATCTTCTGCGTGATGGGACTGCTCGGCATCCTGATCTGCAACATCCTGAAGAAGAAAGGCTACCACTGCGTGCCAGAAAAGGAGGGCGGAGATGAGGAGGCGCCTGTCCCGGAGAAAGACGGTAAGAAAAACCCAATCATCTGGGGGGGTTAGGAATGAGAGCCCGGGCGACAATTGCTTGAAATTCGCTTGCGTTTTTCTCTGCGATTCACAGCGACAACAGTGTGGCTTTAGTTGCAATTAAAAGATTAATGACTTGTTTAGAAGGCCGCCGAATTTAGCTGGGTTTTCCCACTCAGTGTATTGGCACGCAAGATATTTCCGTTTCCAAAGGTTTTACATTGAGATCAGTCATAGGCTGGCGGGTCTAAGTCTCTGCATGCTTTGGCTTGTTGGGTTAATAACCATAGAATGATTTACAGGCTCCTCTGAACTGAAAGGTTGGAATTAATTGCATCTTACAGCACAAAGTATTGTTTTCATGTGGGCACAAAATGTATATTGAGTTCAAGAAATATGGTAGACAGAAGCATTGGGATAAATCCAGGTGTTTTTAACAGAGTGGCACGTATACAAGTCCAACCTTTGCTTTGGCGAGGAGAGATATTGTGGAGGCTGAAGGTTCTAGTTGTTTAGGCCAATATTACAGGTTCCTAGAATATACATTTTCAATTTACAGTAGGTTGACAATATGTTTCAATGGAAATGTACTGATGTGATATTCAAAGGGTCAATACCTGATACGGGTTAGCATCCTAATACCAAAATAGTTTTCTCTTTTAAGCTTTAGTATTAACCTTCTGGCCCATATGAATATCAGAGATAAAGTAAGAAGACTTGTGTAGTTTTAGTAGATTTGCCTCTTCAGGCTACAGTCCCTTTTTCCCAGCACATTTGCAATAGCGTCCATTTTCCACATTAAGCCAAACTACCTTACAGGCACAAATGAGTGGCACTATCTGGATTTTCCATTTATAATCAATTGTTCTTTGTGCTTCTAATGAATCGTGCAACCACAGCTGCAGTAAAACAAACACCAGACATGCAAATTAATAGTTTTCTCAAAGGTCATTATGTGTGCCCCTTGAAATTATATATTTGTTCCACACAAAAAGTTCCACACAGAAGCAAACTAAAAAAAAAAATCAGTATTTAATAATGAACAGCTGACCAAACAACCTTGACAAAAAAAAAGTCTATTGAAACAGAGTGCTGAATTGTGCCTTCACTCATCAAATTTAATAATTGTAACATGTATTTTAGATTCCTGTTAATGCTGCACTTCAGAAAAAGATTTTTATCCAAAAGACTGATTGGGACTGAATTTCTGCTGCCAAATTGTTTCAGTTTTCACTATAAATGTTCTTAAAATATATTTCTGCCTCTATGTTAGCCTCTACTTCAATTCTGTTTTGAAGATTTGTTGTTTTAAGGGACAAATGGGGAAGTCCAAGATACCAAGAGGCTTAGGCTCCTATGTCCAGGACACAACAAAACCACTGTTAGAGAAGTTAAATTTTTTTATGCTGTGTTTCATATTTCCATCATTCTTTGTTTTTCCATTCACAAGAGTGAATCAGAACTGTGTGCTTCACGTCACTGTTGTGGAATTTGCCGTTTTCGATACTTTTTCAACAGAACTCCCCTACCTTGTTCCTAGAGAATCTCAACCCATATCAGATATCAGATTACTAGGGGTTCTTACATGGTGAGGATCTGGAGACGAGCCATGTAGCTCATGACTCTGAGCATGCCAGTGTCCAGACATGCTAAGTAAAGGGGGTTTACTTTTTCTAGTGCACCATGTGGTGGCCACAGCATGTTAGTGTTTAGACTAAATTAGATAGATGGTTGATATGATAGCACATGAAGAGCACCAAGAGGAGTCTGATCAGATTTTCTTGTGTATAATCACACAGTGCACTCATTGAGATCACCTCTGTTAGCTATGCGTTCTCAATTTTGCTTAAGCAATGTTGCTTAATGTCCGACAAACACATCATATGAGCTAATCTGTCAGTATTCTGTACATTAGGAAAGCTGACAATACAAAACTGGTCATTTTTTACAGAAAGCCTACAGATCTTTTATGAAGTTAATATATTTGAATGGAAATGTGCAGACTGGCTGTTTGTGATTACTCATGCTGTGACCTGCCTTGCTGACACAGCAGTTTTGATCCTTGATCGGGGGGTTGGTATAGCAGGGTAAGGCAGTGGGGAGGGGGGATCTTTATGGCATTGCTGGAACAGGTGAGGCATGCTGTGATGAATAACTCAACTGCTCATCTTTAATTAAAGCCCTTGGAGGAATTCATAGTGGTGGAGTGGCTTGGGTACAGCCCTGCAACCTGAACCACCCCTGTTTTAATGGAATTTATTTTTTGTCCTTTTCACTAGTTTTAGACTTTAGCATGAAATTCAAAAATAAACAGAGCACACAAAAAATAATAGGGTGGCAGAGGCCATATTTTAAGGAAAAGATGGGACAGGGTTGTGAATATAACGGAAATCCCTCTTGACGCAGAAGTCAGGAAATGACTGGTTTATGGAAATGTTTCCTAGTGAAACAGAAAATATTAAGAAAGTAGTCATAAATGGAACAAGTGTTAAATGGTTAAAGAGTGCGGTTTCTCTTAGTAAGCACCCCAGCTCCTGTTGCATGTCTGAAGTATCAGCTGACTCCTGTGAAACTATAAGCTATCTGGAGTGACTAGAAGTCCCACTGAAGACATTACTCAAGTTTCCACTTATCATCCAAGTAAATAATTAAATGATGCTTAATAATGACTCCTTTTAATAAAACAATGGCAGCTGATATCAAGCTATAACCAAAAGTCTAGTATCCTTAAAGAAAACATTGGTTTCTCTACGATGTAGCTTCAGGTGAAACAAAATGTCAGGCAATAGCTTTAGCTTCAGTACTGTTGGCGTGCGTACTGTGTGTTCTACATGACTTGCAATTGGGGTCAGTCCAGGGCATAAATTTGATGACAGCTCCATTGTGTTTATAAAGTTGCTGTTTACTGCGTTTCTGAGGAACACTGCGGCAAAGTCATGTTCAGGTATTTAAAACAGCTGCAGGACATACAGTACAGAGACACAGGAAAGATGAGAGGAAACTCTGACAATTCTTTGACACTGTGGGTCCTTTCACACAGTGCTAGGGTGACAGATTTCATTTTTATCTTTTGATTTCAGCGTACAGTATCCATGCTGGTTGACATCTCTCTTTTTGTGCAGTTCTGTAATGATTGTTCTTGGTACCACTTTTGGACACTTCTCAAGACTCTAAGCAAAATAATATAGAAACAATGCTATAAGCTCTTAATTAGCACTGATATGTAAATACTCAAGCCAATACTGCAAACTTTATAACACACAGGAAAATCATGCACAATAAGACAGGGTTCTAGGAAAAGACCTCAACCACCTTTTACAAAATTGTTATTATCTGTTTGCAGTATCCACACAGTAATCGTGGAAGCTTATTATCATTTCTGTTGACTGTTTTAAGTATATACTTTAACCTGCAACATCAGGTTAGTGTTAGAAGAGAAAGGTCAAGGGTAGGTATACAGCTCAAACAACATTGTTTTTCATCTGCACTTCTGCTTTGCTCTTGTGTCTTCAAGCTCAGTTTATATAAAAATATGATTTTCCTCTTGAACCCCATCAGCCTGCAAATGTATTCGTGACTTTTTCCCTTAAGTCTTAAACAGGAAGGATAGAAAGGACATACTTCTTTAGCATATTTTGGATGTCAAAGAGCTACATTGGAAATTCCTGAAGTAAGCATCCTATTTTGCAAATGGATGTGAGAATGTACCTTTTATTTTTGTTAGATATTATTTCTTAAAATGTGCTCTTACATTATCAGAAAAAAATTCCAAAGGATTTGTGGAAGGAAAGTATTTGCTTACATAGAAAATTGAGGGACAATTTTTTGTCAAATTATTATATTTATAATCTATACATTGGTATATAGTGACTAATGTACTGTTGCTGGGAAAGCTGCATTATTTATTTGAATTAGTGAGCATGAATTGGAAGCACAAAGTGCTTAAATTGAGACTTGATTGAGACTGAGGATTGATTAAAATAACAATCAAGAGTATTTTTGTTTTGAATAGTGGATTACCGTTAAAAGGTCTCTCATTATTCTTAAATGGGTTATTCTGCAGCTTGCGTAGATGCTGACCTCTTGCAACTGTGGGAACGGACTGGTTGTCATGGCGATTTCTGTTCTAATATAGCAGACCTTCCTTCGTATAAACAAAAGCTTTCCATTACACAGCCACTTTTCACTATTAAAATCTTGAGCCGTACTGCTTAAGACACGAGTTCAGAGTACTCCCTGCCTCGATTTCTAAATAATTATACGTCACTTGCCAGACAAGTTTTACGCTTAAATATTATCTTCTGCCTGCAGCTTTTCTGTATATCTTCCTAGATGTTAACTGTTCCTCTCCATCAGTGCTAGTGATGTCTCCCGTCACAAGAAGTGCATTTTCTACCTTCTTGTAGATTGTTTCTTACGGTGCGGTCATATTTTAATTTTCCCAAGGCGACCAGTAATATCATGTTACTGTATATCTGAAAACCTGAGCTCAGATGCCTCTAAGAAAGACATGGATCACTTTCAGTATGCTATATGTATCTTCTACTACAGTGCCTGGTCATGTAGAAACACAGTTTTTACACCCCAGTAGCTCCAGTAATCCAGATCCTGATCAGCCTGTTTTGTATGTTTTTTTACTTGTTTCCTACAGGTAATGTTTGCCCCTACACTGTGGATGATGCCAATGAAGACACAATCAGTGTGTTGGTGCGACTTATAACTGAAAAAAAAGGTATGTTCTAAAGCCTGGGAGAACCTTGCCTGATTTTTAATGTGTAAAACCTGTCACAGCTCCAAAGTAAAACATATTTGTTTCTTCAGAAAATGCTGCTGCTTTAGAAGAACTGCTGAAGGAATATGAGAGCAAACAGATGTCCATCAGTAAAGCAACTTCCATCAAGTAAGAACCAACTGTAAATGATTATTTTAGTCATACTCTTATTCCCCTGGAAATACAACACTTGGACACAGTGTGAACATCTTTAATGTTCCTGAGAGGAGTTCTGCTTTAACATGCAGATAGTATTTCAGTATCAAATACCTATCAAAGCTCAGACAGATCTAGGTTTACAGATTGCCATGAAAGTTGTAGCAGTGAGAGAAGATGTAGTACCATGGTAACAACCGGAGGGAAAAGGTTGAGTCTGACATGGATAGCTGTATTCTCTTTTTGTTCATGAACCAAAACCAACCTGAAATCAGAGACTTCAGGGATTCTTTTCTCCTTTCCATAACATGCTATTGATTCAAGTGCTTTATCACAGGACCATAAAAATACTAACCTCAGACAATGGCGTGGGTATTTATTTACACAAGCTGTATACCATTCCATTTTTAAGCAAGATCTGAGCAGCAACATGGGTTAAAGGTGTTACCTCGCTGTTTTGTCAGATGGCTTTGTACTTTAAGAACGGTGAAGAAAACCAGGATAAATCCTTGACCAGCAATGCACTTACTTCTACCCCATTGCTGAAAGATATCTAGAATATCCCTAAACCCCCACTTTCTTAGACTAGACAGTACAATTAGAAAAGAACACACAATGCCATTCAACTCCAAATCTGAAATGAAGGAAATATAAGTGAACACCAGCAAATTAACTGAAAAATGCATCTCTGTGGGAGAGGCTTTGCCTATTCTGCTCATTCTAGGCCAAAATAGTCTGCTTCAAGAATAACTTAAAACTCATGTCATGTGAAACAAAGTACAAAAACAAAAGGAAAACTGAGAGCACCATTTTCAAGATACACTTCAGACATCAAATCGGAGCAGGTTGAGGTATTCTTATCAGTAATTTGTTATTGTTAGCCAGGCTTTCATTCACCAGCTCGTGAAAGTGTGGTCACTATGGCAGCAGGCTCATGTACCAGGCGCTTCTAGCACATTCTGTCTGTTCCCTGCGCAGCACTCAGGGGGGCACCCAGGACTATTGTTGCAAGCGGAAAATATTACAGGTTGCTTGGCAAAAGGACAATAGGGCATTTCATGCTGCAGTGCCATAGGTGACGAGTTTTAAGATGAAGTTCAAAATCTAACTGAACCTTTTTAAATTGGATTTTACACTACGAACAAATCTCCCTTTAAAAATAGGTCGCTGTTAGTTTTACTGCTTTCCCGCAAAACAAACCCTTAATACTGTATGGGGTAATTTAAGGTCACCTGCACTGCAGCTTGAAATATTGAAAGGCCCACACTTTCACAAATGGTGCCTTAGTTTAGTGCCCCTGTATAATTTCTGTGAGATTGGGCCACTTTCCATTAGCGTGACTGAATCCTTATTTATAAGTCTGCTCTAAACTGACAGAATACTACGAGAAATCCCTTCCTATTACTAAATTGTCCCCCAAAACACAAAGGAATTTTTGGCATTTTCTACCAATGTGAAAAAAGGCCAATCTATTTTGTGCGCTCATGCCAAACAGATAGGCTTTCTGTCTATAGATAGAGGCCAGAGTAAAAAATCCCAACACGCCTATTACAAAAAACAAGTGTGATCTGCATCCGCACTGCATGTTGCATAACATTGCTATTCATAAGCCTGCTGCCTGCACAGATGAGTAATGCGCTACTCTGGTGGAGCAGCTGTTGTCCAGTGAGCTGGGGTGCTGCGCAATCGTACCTGGGAGCTGTCAGCATTGTTATAACACTGTTGCTCTCTGCTCCTCTCTTCCAGGTTCCCTCCTGTGGCCCAGTTACCCCAGTTGCCCCAGCTGCGACCCCTGCCCAGGCTGTGCCCTCACCAGCACCACCTGCACACCGTGCAAGGGCTTGCCCCATGCTCGGGCACCTGCTGCTCTCGCTGCAGCCAGAAGAAATGGCCAGAGATCCTGATGCCCATCGACACTAGTAAGACCACCAAAGTGGGCACGAAGAACAGCCGACCGGGCGAGATCACCATTCTCTCTGTGGGCAGGTGAGGTAACCCTAGACTCCCTGCGCCACCTGGGCTCTCTTTCTTACCATGCAGAGACGTGTTAAAAAATGTATGTCATTCAAAAGCACTATGAAATATGCCAAAAGCTAAGGGGAGGCCCAGCTGGACCTTCACAAAGGACCCTAAGGTGTAGAAGACCACAGAAATGTAAACACTGGTTTTGTTTTCAGGGGCTGAAGCTTCTGCCAAATCCGGCTGTCCTGTGAGAAAACGGTTTCTCAGAGGATGTTTTTGTTGGACTGAATTCTGTGAAGTGCCTTCTGTGAAGCGATGAAAATGACAGTACTGCGAAACAACCACACAAGTTTAGCACCACAGTTGTTTAGGAAGGCAACATTCCAGTGCCGGCCAACTTTTGTTTGTTTGAAGACAAAGAGCCGGGAATAAAAAGAGCCCACCTGTTTCTGGCCCCCCTCTGTCTTAAGTTTGAGATAAAGCTCAGGTGGGGGAAATACCATGGTGGAGTTGGAGTAAACTAAACTGATTTTCGATTTCAGTTTCCTGCTGAGTGTGTGCACCCCAGAGTGTGTAAACCCCGTGTGTAAACGGTGTGTTCCACAGGTTCCAGGTGGCCCAGATTCCCGAGCTGAAGCCCACCTCCCTGGCCGAGCTCACCCCTCTGGAGTCGAATGACACGGACTCCATTGACACTACACACACAGAGCCAGCTGACGAGAAGTCACTGCTGGGCAGCTCCTCCTCGACCCGTCCCAAGACCAAGTGGCTGAAACCCGGGGACAGCAAGCCAGAGGTGAGCAAACTGGGAAATCTGCATACTAGGTGTATAAATTCCCGGTCCGGGAACTAATCCGAAAGGTGTAAAAAAAGCCGTATACAATGAATGCTTACTCATGGGAAAAAAACAAAACCCAACCTGCTAAACAGGCTTCACTTAAAACAGGCAGTGAGTCACAATGCAGATTTCCTGCTCATTGTATTTATTAAAGCTGAAGCACTTCCTCTTTCTTTCCCTTAAAAATTGCTGTCAAGTTATCTAAAATTTCCGTCAATGACCACAAAAGATATTAGTGCTACACGAGTGCTATGATTAGCCAAATTAATGAGATGCATAATGCCAAGTCTGTTTTTCTAAAGATGTCCCCGCACGGCCTACACTGTGACATTGCTTCTTTTTTCATGTGCGCGAAAAGCAAACCATTTCCCTCAGTGTTGACTGAGAATTTAATTCTCAGCCTGTGGTCCATCTTCCATCATAACCCAGTGCTTTTTCCCCTCGTTTCAGGACCGAAAACTTGTCATAAGACTGGGAGAAACTAATCTTGTTATTTAAAGGTAACTGAAGAGTTTTGTAATGTGGTGGTGGTTGGGTGTTAACCGCTGATTGACGTATTTCCAATACTCGCTTAGTGTAGCGCAGTAACTCGGCCCTGCTCCTCTGCTTTGAATAAAATTGCGGCTTTGGCTTCGTTTTTTTTTAGTAAAGACACGGCGGCTGCTGGTGGGGGCTGGCCAGTGACTCAGCTGCTAGAGTGACCCCGCTGGTCAGTGAATTGCAATAAATTTCCATATGAGTGGCTGTTGAAATATGAACTGCTATTCTGTGGAAAACCAAGAAATGGCATGCTGGTAGTTCCTCAAAAACAATTTTCAAAGGCGTAATACATTTCTCATTGAGAAGAAGGAGCTTGTTTTCCTGAGGCTTAATTTTCTGGCCATTTCATGTGATAAGAGTCAGTTGGCCTATTCATAACCGAATCATAAAAATCTTGGAGCAATGAAATTTGGTACAGGCTCTATGGCAACATGGGAAACGCATTTTTCAGGAATCAAGACGGCACTCACAGAGGGCACTGCCATCACCAATGTGCCAGTCACTGTGTTCCAAGCAAAATAGCTGACGGAAAATTGTCACCCTTTAGAACAAACTTTCTAGGGATATCTGTGTGTTCCACATTACATATATCCATGGTGCAGTTTTATTGAAACCATTACTTGAATAGACTAACTCTGCAAGGGGCTTGTCTATTAAATTTAATGAGCACTAGAATGACATTGAGACAGCAGAATCAATAGCTTAAAATCTATCCGAGGGGGTACAACACATGCCGTTTTTGTTTAAACAAGTCTCAGAAAAGCTCTTGCGACACATGTGCATACGCATTTTTGAGAGCAGCTGATTTTAGCGAAGAGAAAACAGCAAACGTCAGTTAAATCAGACTAGACCGTTACCTCATAGCCTAGTAGGCACAGGAAATGCAGATGAAAATGCAAGGATTAAACAAATGAAGTTGTAATTGTGGGTTGCATTATTCAAACAGTGTTAACAGAAACTACCATTTAAAGCGTCTGCTACACTGCATTTTATCTCTTCAAATAAACTTCAAATACCGCATCCTGCCAAACACACATTGTAAGAAGACGGTGAGCAAAACTGAGCTGAAAACAAGCTGAGGTTTCTGAGCACTCTTTTTCTCAGGAGCCCTGTCATTTACTCCACATCCTCACCCAGTTGGATCAACAGGAGGTAGTCTGGAAATTGTCTGGAAAGATGCCAATAGAAGATCCGTAATGGTTTCATTAAACAATGCAAACAAAAGTCTGCAATATCACCCACAGGAAAGAAACTGCAACAGACATGAATCAGTTAGCTAGCACTGACTACTTGTTTCAAACCTATTGTGTAGTCAGGAAATTGTGAATAATTCTTGTTGGACACTTTTAAGTGTCTAAGATACTCTATTACAGGATATACCTGATTTCAAACCACTTAGTGTGCTTTAAGTCAAATATATGTTCTATACTGTTAATATACTGTTAGCTGTCCTCTTGTTAATCCAGTTCAGCTAATGGTGTGTGCAAACACTTGCGAATGGCCTTGAAATTACGGATTCTTAACTAAAAAAAGCTCAGAAATGGAATACTCTTGCATTTTTATACATCTTGCCATCTGCTTCAGCACAGGCAAACCACGTTAATTTCAACATTCAAACTCAGCTTACGGGGTGGGGGAACCTTTTGTAATTGGGGTAAAGGTTCAGGATTTGTGTTTTCACCGTCTTAGGGAGAAACGGTAATATCTGCAATAAAGGGCTTTGACTCCAACTCTCCTTCATCATGTTTCAGGCAGACCCAGACATGCCCACCCTCAACCCCAGGAGATGAGGGGCGAGTCCCATGACTATGCTTGTTCCCATTACTCAGCAGTCCCTCTCTCCGCAGGTGAACATCTAACGGGAGAAGCAACCCGAGTGCTGGAAGAGAACTCTGCTTTGCTGCCACACATCTGGGAGCAAGGAGTGTGCAGGAGAAATGAGCTGAAAACGCCAGCCTGAGGAGACACCTGATGCAGCGACAATGACAAAGATTCCCATAACACTTGACGCAGCAGTGGGATTTTTCCATGGCCTGGCCTGAAAGCTTATTTTTTATTTTTTTAATTGACTCAAAGATGAAATGCTATATTTTGAATTCTGAATTAAGAGGCTGACGAACAAATTATTTTGCCGTGCTTCCCAATCTAGTTATCCAGGATAATCTGAAGCTTAAACATTACCACTACCTAACATACACATTTTTTAAGTGGCGCACAATTTGTCACAGTTCAGTGCCTCTGATCAGATTTTTAATTTATGACAGGATCAGTGATGGTTATCCTGGGACTTTCTTCATATGTAACACAGCAGTACACTGTTCTTCTGAATGCTGCTGTGCTGAGGCTTTTATTCCATCTGAGCTCCTTATTACTTAACCTGTCCAATTATCTTCTTAATGATGCAGATTTAACACCCTGCCCCATTGCCTTCAAAAAGATTTGTTTGCACCGGCATTCAAGTGCATTTTTTTTAAACCATCAGCTGGGAAAAGGTTTTAAAAAAGGACTTTAATGCGATTCCCAGCCGACCGAAAAATTTGAATTATTGCGGAGCTGAAGTTCAAACAAACTACAGAAGACACTCCGCCATGACTGCAGTCCAACACCCCTGCTGCACTATGGATTTGATTAATTACCTCCTAATGTCGCAGTGCAGTCCTGCTTTTTTTTAAACCTCTCGCTATGCTGGCTAGCAAAACGTAAGCGTTTATTGAAACAGAGATGCAGGGGTAGTTAACAGGATATCTTTAAGCCTTCCTTTCAGAACGTCAGTGAGGGAAATAAAAGTTCTCAAGAGAAACCACACAACACAGAGAGAGAAAAGATGAATGAAGTAATGTCTCCCAGCTAACATGCTTTTGTTGGATACCTGTTGACGCTGAAGGCGTGTTTGCTGCAGACTTTCTGCTGCAAAAAAAAAAAGACACAGTTCCTGCCACAGGAGACAGATTGTGCTTTATTTTGCTTTATTGCAACTGAATGTGCAAAACAACAGTATAATATTACCAAGTCTCACAACCTTTACTTTGCCGTGAGCACAAATCAGCCTGAAACGCTGCTTTCGACATCTCCATTTCCTGTCACAGTCCCTTCCTTGAATCAAGCCTGGATGAGTATTCTTAGTACTGATTTTCTTTTGTTTAAAGGAACAGAAAAAAAAACAGAAAAATGCCACTGATCTGTGGGAGTTAATTTTGGCGAGACCGTTTACATTAACATTTTTGTATAGTTTACAAGTCATTTTTGTTTTTTGTACGTTTGTGAAGGTCTTTTTTAAAAAAATGGTTTTAATTGTATTTATTGGTTAGACATTGTGCTGTACGTTTTTCCATCTGTGTTAAATGTTTTTAACTGAAATGTCTGTAGTAAAAATATCATCTCTCCAACCTTTAAGGTTTAATTTATTATGCTGCATTGGCTGGGTATTTGTATTCTTTAAATAAAGAAACCATTGGAAGGCTTCTCTAGTAACAGTCTTTCCTGTTTTATCCAGGTAACTTAACTCTCAGATGAATACATTGGGAGTTGACATAACTTTCAGTGACTTTACAATGACAAACAAGCAATAAGAAGAGAACAAACACTGTTACTAGGCCTAACTGTTGACTCTGAATACTACAGATGTTGAATATATTGTAAGCTTTTTTCTTCCTTTTAAAAAATTAAACCAATTATTTCCTACAGCACCCTTTGTCACAGTGAGCTTCACAGACTTATAATGCAGGTTACAAAAATTGTATAGGAACACTTAACCACTTTCATACAGAGAGCAGGGGAACAAAACAGTCACAATTAGCAAATGAAATTCAAAATGATTTAGATCAAATTCAAGACTAGATACACACCTGGGACATTTTCTAGATACCGAGAATCAATTCAAAAACACAAACAATGTTAGTCAAAAAGTGTAGAATTCAGATGAAGGAATTTTATGCTAAAAATACTTTACACACTAGCGAGGCCTCATTTAGAAAATCGTGACCAATTTCTGATCACCACATTATAGAAAGATTATTGCTGTTCGGGACTAAGTTCAGAGAAGAGCAATCAGTTGCATTGTGAGACTTCAAGGCATGTGTGGTGTGGGTTAAAATAACAGAACCTTTTCAGTCTTGAATAGGGGAGACCCAATCCAAATATTCAAAGTATCCTCAAAGGAACTGATAAAGCCAAGGGTGGATTTCTTCAGAATAAACTGTGACACATGGAACAGTGGACACAAATGGAAACAATGCGGAAATGCACTTAAAACAGAGAACAGGAGGCACTTCTGTACACAAAGAGCTGTGTGAGCATGGAACAGGCTATCTAGACGTTGTTGAAGCCGATACCCTGCAGCTGAATTAAATCCTTGAACCAATAAACTACTAACAAATGGGCAGCATGGTCTCATCTCATTTGTAACCTTTCTTTCGTTCTTATATCCCAGGCAACACAACCATGTACCAGCCATGCACATCCCTCACCAACAGTTCCATATGTTAGCAAGCCCCAGGTATGGGATATGAGATCCACACAATCCTAGTGCCATGATAAAGGCTCAAACCCGTGACCAGAGCATTCTACCTGCATCCAGGCGACCTGTTCCTGCTTGGCCTCACAGGAAGTTCCCTATTGGTTTTTAATCCTTGATGGAAAACAGGACAGGGTGGAGCATGCATTAAACTATTTCCTGCCCCCGTGACAGCGATCGCAATAAATGACAAAAGCAAACATTTACACATTACTGCAAACTTTGAAATCGACAACTCCTACTTTTTCCATCAAACCCAGTGTTATTTTTATGGGTGTATTTATCATGCTTTTACAAAAAAAATAGGATGCTTTTAATTAAAACCAGTCACATCATTAAACCCACAGGATGGAAAGAAAACCTTCAGGAAGAGTGACAGAAACATCCTCTTTATCCCAAAATCTTCCTCCATATCCTTCATGCCATTTTCCAGAGTTCAATTAACTTAAAATAGTTTCAGCTCATGGCAAAGCAACATGTCTTGAAAAGAATACAGACGAGACGGGGGGAACATTAAAGACAGGACTGGGAATATCTTTTTAAAAGTATTGAGATGCCAATAGAAGTAAACACGTAATACTAAAAGACAATAACATTCTTGATGACATGCAGACCCATATTTAATCCCAGGATATCACTGAAGATTCAAAAAACAAAGGGCATAACAGGTTTGTAACAAGTATGAGACTTAAACAATACCTTTTAAGTGTCTTACATAACAAACCCACCACAAATTGACAAACAGGAGGAAGTCTACAAAACAATCACTAAAACATTATGCAAGCCATTTCCGCTTGAAGACTGTAAAAGGAGGTATTATCATGAGGTAATACCTCATGATAATGAGGTGTTAACTGTGTAAACTGAACAACACTCAAAGGGAAAAGGCGGCCTTCCTCTCACAACCACCTCCTAAACTTGTCACGGGCTCCACACCACCGCTGAACTAATGCAGAAGGTGTAGTAAGAGGCAAAAACTACATACTGAACCGCGAGAACGTGCTGCAAAGCCCACCACTTACCCCGGGATACAGCCATCTGTGTGGCAGGTTTATGTCCTCCTCATCGTCACATGGGTTTTCAGCTTCTTCCCAGCTTGCGATACTGTGCTGGCAATCTCAAGGGCCTCTCCAAAATGTGTCAGTGTGCGAGTGTCCCGCGACAGACTAAAATCCTGTCGGGAGCACGGTCCTGCCTTGCGCTGTCTGCCTCAGACTATAGGTTGCCGAGACTTTTAACTAGAAATAATAATTGCTTACACTTATAAAGCACATTACAGATAATGACGACTCCCCTCCACCACCACCTGCGTGATGCAGCAGCAGCCATAGTTCACCAGTACACTCAACACACACCAGCTATCAGTGGGGAGAAGAGCAGAGTGATGAAGCCAGTTCATAGATGGGGATTATTAGGAGGCCTTGACTGGTAATGTCCAGAGGGAAATATGGCCAGGATGCCGGGGTTACACCCCTGGTGTTCTCAAAAAACGCCTTGGGGATTTTTAACAACCACAGAGTGTCAGGACAGTATTACATCTCATCTGACAGACAGCACCTTTTTCAACTTTCTGATAAAGGATGAGGGAGCCTTACTACAAGAAGCAGAGCGATTAATTAAACTCTACAAATAGTAAATACATTACTCAAACGTGAATCATTCTCTACTATTTAACTATTTCTCTCCACTAAATATAATACAGCAATTGGGTTTTTATAGCCCTATTTCAGCTGTGTATAATATATATATTTTTTTAAATACCATAAATCTTCAAATAATCGCCCATTTTTCACTGGGTATCCCTCACATTCCCAGCTTATGCAGAACTTTTTTATCCATTTATCCAATACCACAGAAGTATCAACACATCAAAGAAACAGATGAAGAGAATCAAATCCAGGTGACATCTTTTGGAAACTCACAGAAATAGGTAAGATTTTTTAACAATCCAGTTCAGCAGTTTATATTGCTTTTAGGAAACTTGGTAGCTTGTACCTTAATTCCCCCTCCCCTCCAATAGGAAGTTATCAGAAGTCCACTAAAATATTTTTAAAAAAACTTGAAAGCTTTATCGTGAAAGCATAGAGCCTAATAAACTGAAATGGAGCTAAGCCAGACACATTAAAGAAACTAAAGATGCCGAATTTTGTACTTGAGCATAAAAAAACCTTAAAACTAGAAAGGACCTCTTTTCAGCACACAGGTGACCTCAAAATAAAAAAAAAGAAAACTCCTCCCAACAGCATGTTTCCAACTCATTCCTGGTGACCCAGTTCTTCAGGTTGTATAAACCCTCTCTCTCAGTAGCTGAATGTTAATTGAGTAATTAAGCCCAATTAAGTCAAAAGGCTCAAATGGAATAAATGGAAACCAGAAAGTCATATACAACTCCAGGAGCAGGACTAGAGAAACCTGATGCATATTAAATCCTATGGGAAAGGAAAGATCAAAACAAGGCTTCTACCCTCTGGAGGTTCTTTTCCCTACAAACAGCATGTCCTCTTTAAAATCATTCTCAAACATTCACTTGAAAATGAAAGGGTATTTGGAGAAAAAAAACAACAACCAGGCTTTTTTTGGGAAAGATTTTAATAGTTATTGAATGTTCTACATCTTACAGTAAATATCATACAATTACAAACTTGGCTTAATTCTGTCACTGAGATCACTAACTGATCTTCAAAAACAAAACAAAAATAAAACAGATTTACACTTCATATTCACAAGTCTGGTGAGGGTGTTTCTGCTTCATAAGACTGAGGTGCTGTCCTTAAAAAAAAATCACTCTGGAAATACATTTGGAAGACATTGAATTTCCACTTTTTGCTTTACAATTAGTGTTCAAATAATAGTAGAAAAAAGTACAAACTTTTAAGCTGCAGCTGATTTAGAAAATAAAATCTGTTGAATGCAGCAGTTTAACCTTGATTCACCCTTCTCATACCTCAGCTATGAAGGAATCCAAGCACAAACAGATTTTAACTACTTGGGGCCATTACAGAGTGCATGTACTACTGTACATGTGTATACAGACATACACACCCTTTAAAGTCTGTCATGATTTTCATAAGGATTCAAACCTGTGATCATTTAAGCTTTCAAAAAACAACATTATTTTTTTGATTGATCAAATCCAGACAAAAAAATGATGGCTTGCCTATATTACACCGTGAATCAAAATTATTTCAAACCGGAATTTCTTTTACTTGAGCCAACTTTGTACACTTTTACATTTAAGAGATGTAGACAAATACTGGCTCCAGTACGTCAGCTGTAGTGTAACTCAGCATTGTTGATTTGAGTCGATGTCAAGAAAAGAAATTTCGTGTTGCTTGGAATGGCTTCAAAGCAGAAGGCTCTTAAAGACGGGGCAAGCAAGAGCTGAACAGCATGGATACAATTTGCAAACCTTATTTCTTACATCTGTATTCATTTAAGACAAATTACTGAAGAATAAAAAGGGTAAAACACAGACTTTAGCTAAATTGGTCATTTTTGTAGTTAGAAGTACAAGTCATAGTGCCATAAAATTAACTGTTGACACCTGTTACAATAAAATAAAATATCCTATTACTAGGTTGCCCACTGAACAGAAGTGGGAAGAGAGGACTCTTACCACACTGGTTCAAATGCCACCTCTTTTTTATCAATAATTTTACCTGAAAATATTTTTTTCCTGAAAATCTCCAGCCAGCATCTTCTAAATACCATTTGGTACACTCAAACCACCCGAGACGTAAATGTATTTTCACACACTAGTCTCTACGTTAAGGGTTAATCAGGGGTAGTAGGGGGTGCCTGCGAATGTCTTGCAGTATTTAAACACCCATGCTTCATACAACACTTGTTTTTGCCCTTTCCTTGAGAAAAGAAAGTTTAAGGATTCTTATAAAACAAAACCCCACAGACTTGTGTTCTGAAATGCTCCCTGAAGCTCAAAGAAGCATCTGACTTCAGTTCAACCATAAAGTTCCTCTATTTAAGAATAATAAACATCAATCAATAAAACTTAAATAACACTTATGGTAAAAAGCGCTTAAATTACATATCAGAACTGATTTTTTTTAACCTAGGTTATTTTCTTTCCTTTTCTTAAAGTTTAAAATATCGGAGGCAATACTCATACACACGGTTTAATCTCTTGAAGTTAATTCTCCTCCCTTCTTGAACTCTGCTTCAACATCGAGTCAGGCCGGTACAGCTATTAATATGCATTGTTCAAGTCCTGCATTACATTTTTTAGCAAAGACATCCAAAAAAAAATTGTTAATGGTCTCAAAGTAAGATTTTTGATTTGGGGATTATTCCCAAGGTAGTGGAAATATGTCACCAGCTTTATTCCTTATACACTATTTTTTGTAAACTGCTACATATTTTAGGGAAACAGTCAGAACATAAATAAAGTTATCCACAGGCCTATTTTCTATCTGATTTCTATAATCTGGAACGTTTCCATTCATGTAGACAGTGACACCAAGGGACTGGTTTATCTTATGCTGATTATTTTCCATGGAAAACCTGGAATATTTTTTTAAAACAGGTTCATTAAAGCTGCTACATCCTAACACTAAAATAGGATTTCATTGTTACGTCTTAAGAATTGTGTATTTTAAGTTTAAAAAATAGACAGGGGCCAAAGGCAGGGTTGGCGGTTTTTTATTTTAAGTTAAATCCAATTTTTTTTTTTAAACTGCGGAAAACTTTGAATGGTACCATAGTTGTAGTTCTACCTCCAAATATTCTCAACATTCTTGATATGCTGCAAGTGATGCTTTGTGAAAAGTTACATGCCAAACCAAATTTATTTTCCTGTATATGAAATAAGATATATATTTTAATCTCCACTCTTAAGTAATGTACGTTGTACTGTATGTAAAGTAGAAGTACAGTAATAAACCGAGGTATACAGTATTTAAACAATGACCTGTCAATTATATAACAGAATAACAGAGAAGGGTAATACAAAAATTTAGTATAACTATAACTATGGTACTTTATCAGAAAGATGCTACCTGAAGAGAAAATAAGTCTCTTCTAACCTAACCCTAGCACTGAATTTTATAAACTCTTTAACATACATCTCTTCAGACAGGTACAACCAATTTCCAGACATCATAATAACAGCACTGACACATAAGACCAATTGAAAGCATTGCCGTAATATATACAGAGTTACACTGATAAATGTCTCGGGTCATGCTGGCCTTAGGCTCTGGTTACAAAATTACTTCTAAAACAACTAAACATCACCGAGTTATGTCGAACGTAATAGAAGTGTAACCAGTTTCAGAAAGGTAGACCAGGAGCAAGCCAAACTCTGTTCAGCTATGCTTAATTCCCATTGAGTATATTAGTCTGCATCATCTGAAACAGTTAAGCTTGTTTTCATGACCTATTGACACAAGCTTGTCTTACTCCTTCTGAAACCTTTAAATCCAATGTAAACAGATAAAAAGTAAATATTCAAAATGTTTGCGGAACATTTTTTAAAAACAAACTTTCACATATTTTCCTTGAGAGACTGTACAAAATAGCAAAAATGGTTTAAATCAGTGATGTATTTTTAAAAAGTAAGCAATTCAATGAAGATTTAAATCAGTGATTTAAAATCAGCCAACCCTGGCCAAAGGTTTTGTTGCACTGATTTTGTGTAACGATAAAACTGTACAAGCAATAGGGTGGTAAATGCAAATTGTGAAAACAAAATGAAATGAAAGGTGTCATTAAATGAAAAGCAAAAATCAGGTTTACTAAGGACAGCATTTATGTGGAATCCAAATGCCTATATTACATCAAATTTGCCTGTATAGACCATTGTAATGGATTCAGATTTGTGGTTACTGTATACTTTAAATCTGAGAGCCTCAAGGTTGCACTCAAATGTTCAATATGCAGTAAATCAAAATGAGTTAGGGAAAATCTTTCCGTAAGATCAACAATGCACTTCTGCATTACAATGTTCAGAAAGATTTAAAGGTTTTTACTCGGTGGATTGGCAGAACTGTTGAAATGCTAGCATCACTTTGTTTTTTATTAAAAATCTCACCAATTTGCAAGCGCCTAATGTCTTTTTACATTTGAATGAGTGTGAGGACATGCAGACAGGCTCCTCCAACACCTTTGTTGATCAAGCCAGCCACCTTTTGGCACACTGCAAACTCCAAAGTGACACCCACGAGGGTCGAATCTGATTGGAGGAGAGGTGTGCCCCTCACTGATGTCACCATGACCCTGCAGGCACCTGGGGCTGGTTGTTCACTGGGTACCAACAACAACCTAGCTATCTTAGCCCAACCCAATGCTGGCAGCGTTCAGCCAGTTACACATTGCCCCTTGGAGGAATGCCAGTCACAGTCAGCTAGTGACCTGTCCCCAGCTCCTTCTTGTGACACCAAAAGCCACGGAGCTTAACTTAACATGAAGCACCTCAGCTGGAGGCAGCATTAACACTGCTTGTGAAATCCAGGGGGGGTCCTACCATATTGAAGATGCTTCTCCAAACATAAAATGCAGATGCCTGGATTATTCAGAAGAATTCACATTTAATTCACAATTTGGAATGTTTTAACCAATGTAAACAAGAATGCCCAAATAATATAGTGCTGTTTTTTTTATATTTTAAGGATGATATGAACCTTAAGACCTTAAATGGAATGCTTCATGTACAGTCAATAGAAGGCCACAGAATATTAGAACTTTAGGTCAGATTCCAGCAACTAACTCTTTGGAAGCCAGATAGCTATGTCAGTGTTTCAAACATTTACCAATGCATGACCATTTTTGGATTAAGGTATGTGTTCGTCAAAGTTTGGGTTTAAATGCACAAATCAAGGTTGCAGTCTACACTGCATCTCACGTAACCATGCTTTGCAAGGACATAATTCTGCATTCTGCATATATAACACATTCAGTTATATTATACATGCAATCATACATGTGAATACATGTTTTTCTTATGGTGTAGTAGCTGTGGGTAATACTTTGCAAAACAAAATGCTTTTTTTATTATCAGTGGCTAGCTAATAGAATAAATGATAGTGTTCTATTTGGGCTTATATTATTCCTTTTAATATAGTCCAAAAGGTACCGTATCGAAGATCTGTTTTTGCTTATAACAAAAGCTCTGCTTAAAGAGCCCATGTACTGTATATTTGAAGTACCTGTTAATCAGTATAAGCGATTACCTATAGATGTCTGTGCAACATATCTAAATGCACTTGTTTAACAGAATACCTCTGATATGTGGTCACTTTATCACTAAATATACATGTAAAGAATGTGAAGAAGGGTGTGCAAACACCCAGCCTTGTCAATTCCAAATAGTCACACACCTACAGTCATCTCTTCCTTCAAATGTAAAAGAAAATAGCGTGATGGGCTAATAATCAAATCCTGGCCAGGTGTGGTCAAGTAAAGCTATAAAACTAATTTCAGATTCAACCAACAAGTCTGGTTTTAAAATAAACTTGGGTTTCTGCAGATGCATGATGGAAACATAATACTTGGCAGGGACTACAGTCCTGGTGCAAAATTATAACATTATGCAGTGTGGATTTTTGCACCTCTATTAATGTCACACAAAAGCATTTTTCCTAGCTTCACTCTTCCTCTCACCATCTAGTCATTCATAGATTCCTCTTTATCCTACCCTTATGTGCAAATGTATCCCAATCAATTGCTCAGCTTGGCAGGAAATTCGCCTTCATTTATCTGCTCCTCAGAATAAAGGTACCATACACTTGGGCTCACCAAATCCAATGTGAGTCATTGCTGAAAGCAATGGCTTACTCTGGATGTGCATATACACCCGTTTCTGCAGCTCACAGTAAACACCATGCACTGGCTCAGTTCTCAACCAGTGCACGGCTCGTAGTGAGGGCGTTTGCCAAATGGAATTTGTAGCACAGACCCTGTTTGTTCACCATAAGCCAGCAAGAGAGCCAGCAAACCAAGATGCGACTTTCTGACTTCCACCTCACAAGGGGGAGAACATGTGATGTCTAAAAGAAACACAGACCAAAAAAATTGCAAATGAAAACAAATGCCATTTCATTTCACTCTACATGGAAAATAATCAGATTTTTCCAGAGCCTCTTGCCTTGTTTTAATAATAAGCAGTCAAACTGTCCCAAGAAAACCAGGGAACATCCCGCCTATATCTTGCCCTTGGGAATATGAGCAGATGTGACCTGTGTTACTGCAGAAATAGGCTTGTCTATGCCCCTATCTCCCTGCTTCCCCTCCTTGCCCTGTGCCCTCCACACCCTGTTTTAACTGTTACTGACATCAACAGCGTCATAGCTATGATCAGAACAGACAAGGCCGTATCCCACCGACCAAGAGTAAGAATGGATGTTTTTAAAATGACCACTGCCAGGCCTGCCTCTTATGCAAATTACAGCAATGTAAACACTAATTATTGCAAACATTGACTTGTTTTTCAATCTTTATCAGCTCTAGTTTAAAAAAAAAATCTTCCATATAGAAAACTCCAACCAAATAAGCTTAGCATTTTGCATCCCTTAAATTCAACCTCTTTGGCACCTGTGCACATAGGGTTATAAACCTAGGGTCTGAAAGGTGTAGTGGACACAGGGCAGGAATTTACCCTCTATCCCATATCCAAATGGGTCCAGTCTTCACAACTCTAAGCTTCAGCACTAATTCAACCCCCATCCCCCCAAAAACATTTTGCTCTATTTATTAAAAGCATACATTGCTAACTCTAAATCCCTTTTAATCCTTAACATGTTCCTGAATAATTCCTATTTAGCAATCATTCCACTCTTAGACTGACATGGCTAGAAGTTAAAATCACATTAGTGCCTGTAGTGACAACTCAGTTCAAGTAGGGGCTACTACTTGTCAGCCAACTCCCAGTACAACATGTCCTATGCCATACATACAGACACATGCATATGTGTGTGTATGCAGGTATGTATATATGTATGTGTTTATAGTCCTAAAACTGCTTTCTACATCCTGCAGTACAAGCTAATGAAATTACTGACTTATTTAAGTCATCTACATATTGTATATCTAAGATTATTGTAATATTATTTTCCTATCAAAGGGATAACCACATTTATATTGTAATACAGCTGATATATTAATAAGTCTACCTAATAATTGATACTAACTGGAAGACACCCTTTTGTCAATATTGGAAGATGAAATTTTAAAACCAAATAGGAAGGACAAATCAAAGGAAAAAAAATAATGAATGCATAAACTGTCAGCCCTTTCTGGGAGCAAACTTGGAAAAAAAGACCCTGTTCTAAAATGTATTTTTTGTTTTAGAAAATTTGGCAGCGTAAGAAAATGGTGTATACATTCCCATCACTGAACTGGCCTTGTGTTAAATTATAGAATTAGATGGTAATAACAGAAAGAGATGGTTACTGCTACCATCGGTCTGTGTCTGGAGTTAGCGTGAAAGTAAAAATGGAAGAAAAAAAAAACCAAGATGCAATTTCTCCTTAAAAAAGCAGCTTTTACAAAAACACTAAAGAATGCATAAAGTGACCCTTGCACTTTTTTTTTTGTTCTTGCAAACAGACTCGGTGCTCTGATGTAGACACTCCAGCACCAATGTAAGACTTGAGTAGTTGCATACAATGTTTGACTCCAGATCTGAAAGACAAAGGGGAAAAGCAATTTAAAGAAACAAATAAGGGATTAGAGCCCAAAGCAAATGGGAGTAGAGAACCTCCATCCAGCTCTCCAGACCCATGGATAGAGGCTCACCTGCTGAAGTCACCTAGGCACGCATGGTTATTACATCCTCTACTATGGTACTTAACCCAGGGTTGTAAGAGCAAGCCAAGCTGTGCAAATGGATATCAGCATTTGCTTGTATTGTGTGATGTCTGACCTTATTCAACAACATAAACTCTTACTTAACTCTTACATACAAGCTTACTTAGTGCGGCAAACCTTGGACCATCATCATCATCATCACAGCTGGACCATTTTTGTCTCGTAAAAGGCTAACAAAGACAGGTGTGCATCTGCGGATTATGAGCTAGCGTGTATTCTCGGAGCTTGGAGCGAACGGCTTGTGTCGCAAGACCTGAACTGTCGAGACTGATCCAGACAGACCACAGGGACCGAGTCAAGCTGAACGCTGAAGGAATAACTCACATGAATTGGCCAGCGCGTTTACCAGTGAGGAGGCACGTAGCTGTACCCAGGTGTTCCTTGAGGCCTGTATGTTGGCACGGATACTGGATGTGCGCCGATGGGCGTGTGCTGTGGAGTGGTCAGCAAGGTCCCTGGAGCGCAGAAGAAAGGCAGGTCAGTACAGGAGCATAACAGCCCTTACGGCTCTGCTGCTGAAAACCCAACACCGCTAAAAGAAGCATCTAAAAAAATGACACCCTTAGAAAAACGCCCCTTTTAATCTGCCATGTAAAGCCCCAAAACTTTTGCAGGCTGGAAGTAAAACTAGCAAATTTAAAAGCATGCTTTCGATATATGTGAACGATGGCCAGCAGCCATGTCACCCTGCAACTCACAACTGGCAGCCCACTGAAGCTCAGCAGGTGTGAGCCTGGACAGTACCTGGATGGGAGACCTCCTGGGAAAAACTAAGGTTGCTGCTAGAAGAGGTGTTAGTGGGGCCAGTAGGCGGCGCTCACCCTGCAGTCTGTGTGGGTCCTGATGCCCCAGTATAGCGACGGGGACACTATACCGTAGAAAGGCACCGTCCTTCGGATGAGAAGTAAAAAAAACCGAGGTCCTGACTCTGTGGTCATTAAGAAATCCCAGGGAGTTTTTCGAAAACAGTAGGGGTGTAACCCTGGCGTCCTGGCCAAATTTCCCATTTGCCCTTACCAATCTTGGCCTCACAATAATCCCCATTTATGAGCTGGCTTCATCACTCTGCTCTCCTCCCCACTGATAGCTGATGTGTGGGGAGCGTTCTGGTGCACTATGGCTGCCGTCGCGTCATCCAGGTGGGGCTGCACACCGGTGGTGGTGGAGGGGAGTCCCCATTACCTGTAAAGCGCTTTGAGTGGACTGTCCAGAAAGTGTAAGCTATCATTATTATTATTATGTGCAGCACTTAAAATCAGCTTTTTTTGAAGTTGAGGACAGGTTTGACAAAGCACATGCATGGGAATGGAGGAGTTTATCTACGGCCCTTCAGCGGCCTCTCAGACAGCAGGGGCTCACCTGCAGACATCGCCATGGTGGTCCCTGCCACCATGCCCATGGCCACGCCGTTGGCCCGGGGCGCCGGCACAGGGGCTGGGTAGATGGCAGAGGGAATACTGTTGGGCTGCACCACCGTGGTGTGGTGGATGACGTGAGGCTGGGCTGCATATACAGGCTGTGTGTAATACGCACCCTGAGAGAGCCAGAGAGAGGAGACAGTGTCAGTGACACACGGGGGGAGACCGTGAGAGAGCTTGGGGAAAACACAAGGAGGGAAAGTGAGAAAATGAAAGAGAGAGAGGCTAAAATAAAGTGGGTGAAACCCACAAGCACAAAGTCATTTGCTCCAAAAGAAAACAGTCTCTCTCTCTCTCCGTCCTGGTTAACAGCAAAAAATGATCTACAGCACGAAACAGACGGGTCACGTCGACTATCTTAATAACGAAGAACTTTTACATGAAAAGAAAGCAATCGCCATGTTGCAAAGATGGTCAACTGACCTTGCGCAAAATGGATATCCTAACATTAGGTTCCTACCACAGGCATTTCTTTAATTCACTGTTCTTTATTGAGCAAGCTGATGGACTATGGGAGTACAGATGACACATACCTGAGCATAGAGATTTTGCTGTGGATAGGCACTTCTTATGGGGTACATGGCTGTCTGGTAGGGGTTTGGAGATGGGGAGTAGGGTGGTGGGGCCCCATTAGTCTGGGTTGGGGGGACCTTGTAGGGGGTTCCTGCAGTGTATCCTGAGAAGAAGACAAAGAAAAATACAATTTCAAGCCGGACGCAGCACAAGCCACAAACCCTCTTTCAACATGGGTAACGCTGAACTGCCTGCATGAAACCCCATCTCCCCCACAGCCTTGCACAACAATGCCGGCAGTGTCCGATTTAGTTTAATCGGCATGAGTTGCCTTGAATTACCGTGACATTTAAGACAGAGGAAACTCAATACTACCGAAAGCACAGTAACACGTCTGTAATAAAACAAAAAACTGTAGCTATGCAAGGTGAGGTCAACAGACAACAAATACTTTAGACCGAGCACTGTAAGGTCTTTTTAATCTCTTGGAAGTTTAAGCCGAATACACTGCCAGGGAGGTCTAAGCCTTTGTTAGTACACTCTACTCATGCTGGTGAACACCTGCTTATTCATTGATGGCAAAATCAATATTTTATCACCTGGTTACTGGAAATGTCCCTGGAAGTTACGTTTACAATATATTTATCTTCAGTCTCCATTTCTTTTCAGAATTGTGTAAGGATAAACATAAAAATCTCATATCAAATGTAACTGCTATATTTCGGTTTAAACAACAATGGAGTACTTTGTCCACACATCCTTTCACAGCGTTCCTTCAAACATGCCTCAATACTTCCCTCTTGTGGCAGAATACGGTCAGTACAAAATCTTTTTTTACTCGTCATATTGGCTGGAAGGCCATCATTTTCCAAGAATGCCTAACATCAATACAGCTGCAGAAACCTCTTTTCAGTCCTTCTTTCAGCCATGTCTGAACTGAACATACAGGAAACAGAAGGCTGCAGCTGACGAGCTGTAAGAATTTTAATCTCACAGAGTTCCAGAAGGACTGTCCCTTTTTGTGAAAGTTTGGTCTTATCTGCTGCGTTGATCAAATGTGTGAGGGGGACATATTGAAAATGTGAGATCCAACTACTTCAGAGGCAATAAAACACACTGTGTGGAACAGTACTGCCATGTTTTACTCCCAAATTTGCTTTTCTGTTTCCATTCGGCTTCGGAGCAACTTTGGGAAAGCCGGGAAAAGGAGGTTACAAACCTCCTTTTTAAAGTAAAAAAAAAATCTAAAAAGTTGTTTGCAAATAAACAAAACTAATAAACACCCCCCCCCCCCCCCAAGAAAAGGCCTTGAAACATATCTGTCGATTCTGGAAGAAAAACCTAGTAAATGTGAGAGATCCATCATTCCCATTTTGTTTAAGCCTTCGCTATTCTTTCAGATATCAAACAAACAGCCTCAGAACCAAAAATAATTAGTCTTGCAAACAGCACCGTGTTTCAAGCCAAGCAGCTCAAATGTTGAAAACAAGCCTCAGTGACGAGGCTTCATTAAGAAAGTGAAAAGCAGTCCAGCCCCGCTGGGGTAATCTTTCTGCACTAGGGCCTCGTTTCCGTGTCTCCGTTTTAAAAAAAATAACTGCCTCAGCATTGATCTCCACTTCACACCTCAGCACCTCAGACTGACAGCAGGGGCTGCAAGAGGCTCCCGTGAAGTCCAGAAACCCTGCAAGGTATTTCCAGAAAGCTCCACTCGTCCCAAATCCTCATCCTAGCCCTTCAAACACACTCTTACAGTGACTGATGCTCAGAAAGTGACGCACTCATCTGTTCGCTTTGTTGTGAAACACTGGTGATCACACCAGTGTCCTCAGAGATGAAGGAGGAGGAAGTATTTATTGACCAGGAGGCCATTTCCTCAGATTCTTAGCATTATTTTTTTTATTGAATAATACTTGGATCGAAACAAAGAGCTGCTAGTGTTATAGTATCGAGCCTAGTATTACAACGTAGCTGCAGAACTCCTTTTTGGACATTTTTAGGTGCCTCAGCTGAATTTATTACTCAGATGTGGTGGAAGAAAGCTCAGCTTGAGATTTCCAGTGTGCTGTGAGCTGGTGAGATACAGTTAAAGCAGAACTTCTCTGGCTGTGAGCCTTAATAACACCTTTTCTTTTACTTGTCACATTCTTTGGGACTTTGCGCACTTGGGATGAGGGGACAGTTAAGCAACTAAGGCACTTTAGCATAACTCTTATTAAAATACCGTGCTTACAAAATGAAAGGAAAAAGGCTCTTTATTCACTTAGTCGATATCTCTGGAAAGCAAATTGTAAAGAATTGTAATAAAAACATTAAAATGACTGAAGGGACAGCATGTTAGTCCAATAAAAATATTAACATACAAAAAAAGGATTTGTACAAAATAACATCTGTGACTTAAGTGCACAGATTAACTATTTGCTGATGTGGATAAGAAACTGTTTTCAAATAATACTTGGTATTTAATAGCATTCTGTACCGCTTATATAAGTTATTTTCGCCTAAGGAAGTCCTGGACTGTGTTGGTTGCTTTAAGAAAGGACTTATTTTACTGAACTATCGAGGTGTGAAAGGCAATTCATTTCAAAGTACTTACAGAATAAGAGTCAAACACTGAAGGCCTGGAGAAAAGTACAATGTTATGTGTCTTCATAGTATTTTATGCCAGATTAAACTGAACTCACTTCAAAGGTCCACAATTCACAGAGCCAATTAGAAAAAAGTGAACAAGTCAAAATTGTAATTTATTTTAAAAAATTAAAAACCAATTTGACATTTTAGACCAGTTAGTATAATTGCCTTACACAACTAAGCAAGACTGATCTTGGCAAATAAATATATATTGAGAAAAATGCATTCCACATACAAACGCAATTAGTCAGGAAAATATAGAAAGGGAACAGGGATATTAGAAGTATCTGAATAGAAATATCTGAAGTCTAAAGATTTTGTAATTTTTTCAATCTTTCCAAAGCTAACTTGGTATATCTCCCTGGCTGATACTAAACTTCAATTTAAAACGCCATCTTCAATATGTAATAACTGGAAATGTGGTTCATGAACAAAAAGCAAGGAAATTCAGATATTGCCATTCCTAACAGCTGCATGTCAGGGTAAAACAGAAAATGGTTATAAATATAGTTACGAAACTTTTTATAATCTTAAATTTTAGATTGTTGTCAGGAACATGAGCATTCTTGCAAATCAGTGGAACTATGGGAATAATTGTAAATTTTAAAAGGCAAAGAATACAGACCGCTATGGAAGCCCGTTTCCGCCAGGGAGTAAAAAAAACACGCTATGGTATCTCAGAATGGCGACTTAGCAACTCAGAATTGCGACTTGGCAAGACTCAGGTTTGAGCCAGTGCAGCGAGGCACGAACTAGGGTGGGAGCGGCGAGGGCACAAGCCCTAGAACCCGAATCCGTTACAATAACAAAAGGACAGACAACAAAATATGGCTATTTCGAAGTCACAAATGTGAGATTGTTTTTACTCCCTGGTGGAAACGGGCTTCCATAGACCACAGAACAGAATGAGAGAGCAACAGTAATTTTCATGAAGAGTGATGTTCAGTTTTTAATCAGTATCCCAACCTATAACTCACTGGGTTATTATTACTCATTATTTTTTTTAAGTTTGAGGTGCACAAGGCAACAGCTATTAATCTCATTTTTGATACATAACTGCAAGCAGAAAGACTGGAATGATAAATCACTGCAGCCTTGAGCCCCCTGCTATCCAAAAGTGCAAGTATTACCACTAATTAAATCCATGAAACACAGGCTTACGTTTTACTGTAATGCAACATGTTTACAAAAAAGCAATCAATGATAAAACACATTATGTGCACTTGAAATGTGACCTGGAAAATGTTATCATCCTGAATTATTTTTAAATTTGAAATAAGAGTTTCAGTTAACCTCAAAAGTATGGGGAGCCCATTTCATCATCAGTGTCAACCAACAGTCTGATACAGCATATGGCCAGAAATGTGACATCTGGCAGAAATGTAAAAACTATTCAAGGAAATATTGTGGACCAAAAGCGCCGGCCAAGAATGTAGTTATCAGAACAGAGTTTTACAAATTATCATTGAGTGAATGAATGTCAAGTACAAGAGAGGGAGGTTTATTTTGTAACTATATATTCTTACACAGAGACGCAAGATGCACACATATACACATTCACACAGGTTTAAAGCTTGGAAGCAATAAATAATGTCCAGAGGATTGAGAATTCAGAGGGATCTAGCTTAAAAACACTGTTGTCTAAATGTAAAATGAGTGCCGAGGTAGTCACAGGCTGAGAAAGCAGTCAGTCCTGTGTAAAAGAGAGCTGCTTCAGAAAAGACCGGGAAAAAAGCATATCATTCAAAACACAGATCATGGACTTCAACAATTCTAATTTTTGCACTTAGATTTCAACCACTTTTTGAACCTGTGATCCCCAAACCTGATGACTGGGTCCAATTAATTCACAGGTATTTGTATTTGTGAAGTGGAGAGGATTTTCCATCCTGGGAAGGTTTAATTAGTCACAGGAGTTTTGTATGTAAGAAAGAACTACATTTTCCGTATCCCTCCACACGCTCTGTTCATTTGTTTCTTGTCTCCAAGATTAGAACCTCTTAAGTATATATACACACACACACACAAAATTATCATTTACACTCTCTCACACACGTGTACACAAAGCCAAGATTACCGAGCTTTCCTCTGGTGTAAAATCTGCAACATTACTAAGTGGCAAAAATATGACCACAAATAAGCAACCCAATGACAATTTAAAGCCTAGATTATCAAGGACCTTTCATCAAAGTGCACTTTACTCGTTACTTTTAGGTAAGGGGGGGGTGGGAAAGCATCAAGTAAACTGCAAGCAAGAAACTCAAAGCTCACGCCTCCTTCCCCTCTAGAATAATAAAAAACTAGATGTCATTTTTAAGTGTAGTTTTGATACACACTTCAGTTCAAAATCCTTGATAAAGCCAGCTCACAGGGGCTAATTAGGAGGTTTGGATCTATGGAGTTAAGAAGGGGTTGGGGGGGGGACAAAATGCAAACTTTGCACTGGAGTGAAAGCCAAGCAAGTCCCCAGCCTACAATGCCCTGCTGTGCTTGGAACTTTAGCAAATGGGGTTAAAATTCCGTATAAAAGGAGAATATTTACTGAATGCAGCAGAAGAGGCTTGGTAAGTTCTGTTCTCAGTCCCTGGGTCCACTGCGAGGTCATAGGAACCCTCAGTGGTACTGGAGCTTGAGGTCTGGGGCCAGCCCTGCTTCACCACCAGCACTGCTTAAGCAGAGACAACAGAAGAAGGGTGTTACACACAGCAAACACTCCCCCCATTTCCCGCAGGCCTGTCCGCCCCGCTGCGCCTACCGCTATGGGCTCTGGGCTGTTTTTGTCGTGGGTGGTGTGTGGTGGTGGTGGTGTTGTTGTTCGGAAGGGGCAGGGAGAAAAGGGGCATGAAAAAACGAGACCACTCAAGTCTGGGGGGGACAACGAGCCGCAGCCCAGACCCCCCCCCCCCCCCAAAATAGCATAAAGATCTTTTTCTGCGTGGGAGGAAAGAGCCCTTGAAGATATGGCTGACCTTCAGTCTGACACACACCCCCCTGCTAAGGCAATCTGCAGATAACCTATAGAGAGGTAAAGCCGCAGGGGAACTGCAGGAGGAGCTCAAGGTGCCTGCTAGCCCCCTCTGTACCGCAGACCCGACGAGATCGATCATCGCGCCCGCCCCCTCCGCCCACTCAGTGACCGATTCCACGCAGAAGGATGATGCTCACGCCGGGCACGGGCTCAGCTCGCACACAGTCCCAGTCTCGGGCACGTTCCCAACAGCGCAAAACAAGCTGAGCACAATGCACACCGCAGTGGCACTCATCATTGCTGGTGACGCAGTGATTACGCTCCGCAGTGTCCCTCGTTCGGTTAAGTGTTTTACAGAAGAACAAAAAAAAACGCTTTGTTTAAAGGAAATCTGTCAGTATTTATAGGAAATACCTCCCTCCTTATGTTTACATGTAGGGTACATATTGTAAACGGCACCAGAAAATAAAGACTATGAATATGCCGCATTAGGCTCATCTCCCGATACATGTTTCAGGTCAGATTTAAGGATCAATAAAGACATCTATAAAGAATTTCAGATTCAATTGAAAGGGGCCTCAGGAAAAAAAACAAGCAGTATTTTTTACAATAAAGAGTTAAAGCTGCAGCTGCATTAAGTGAATAGTTGTTAAATGTCTGTACAGCCACCAGAGGGCACCTGGTGTGCATTCCTACTACACCTGCCCACAGAGGCAATGTGCCTGTTGTCTTCATGTGAGGCTCCAGGGGTTTAAACCCTACTCTCTCAAAAGCAAGCACAGCATTCAGTACAAGCGCCTTTGTAAAACAGACACCTGCAAAGATGTACACACACCTTCGTATTTCTCTAATTGTGAGAACCTTGCAATGACGGGCATCCTATTTTAACACTGTACTTGCAAAAAAAACTGACATATGGTGAAAACAGAGCCAAAACAAATAGTTTGGCCATATTAAGATTTTAAAGAAGACACTGTGTAACAAAAATTTTACGAGGATATCGCTATTGCTCTTTGTAATGCCCATTTCTCAGGAGACAGTCTTTGTGAGGATGTTTTCTCTAATTTGGTCCTCAGAGTCACACTTAAATGTACGCATTTTGGAATCGCTACAACTAACACAACTCTTTCTCACACACCCTTGGATGTTACAGCATACCGAAATATGCTGAAGTCTCTGAAGGAGGACCTTTATTAATTATTTATTATTTTCTATGCTAGGAACAGTATCATACAGAACCTACTGTATATGCTTTGAGGTCACTATTGTGCACAGCACAGAAGCACATAAAAATTTCATTTCCAGCCTGAACTAACAACTTCACACAAAACATACAGTAATGAGATCTGCACTCTGAAACAATAGTAGCTTAGCAAAAATAAAATCCTTTGAAATTGAGTGTTTTAGGTAATCATACTGGACTCCCATGATGCACACAAATAATCAATGTTCCTTCTTCTGAGCAAGAGTAAATTATGCATAAAAGGCAATTTTGAATCAAGGAAAGAATCTTAAGCAGCAGCAGTATTCTTATCTTCAAATTCATAAATGAAATACTTTCCTGAATGTTTTTTTCATTTTCTTAAAAATGCAAAATAGGTCTGCTTGGCTCAATGAAACAATTGTGAACCAAGGTGTTGATCCTCAGCTGATACGAGTCACTTCCTCTTAAATTATTATGATTAGCTTACAACTTACTGATGTGGATCTACTTTAATTAAAACCAATAAACACTGTCCAACACAGATAAAACAAGGGCAATACCCTCTCAAAATGAATATTCTGCAAATTCATGCAATTTCAAAAAAGGCAGAGGCAGATGGGAGAAATTAAGTTAATGATAACGCCACTGGTCTTTTGTGCTTAAAACCTTCGTCTTGAGAGGTACATTACTAAATGTAGATATGTCAGTGCAGCATTTTCTTCCCGCTGTATCCACATTAACATTAAGGACAAACAGCACTGTCTGTCCAAGCTTAAGAGATCCTTAAAGCAAACACTTTCCTGGTGCAGCTACAGCAATAAGAAATGCAGTCAAATTACTTTGCTTTAGTGAGTTACACAGAGCACAATTGGCAATTTCAAACTCAGTAAATCGAATCAGTTGATGAAATGTTTTTATTTCTCTCAGGCATTTATTGCAGGTTGTGTGCTCCTCGGGTGAGGGAAATCTGAAAATCCTTCATCTCTGTTGATCACAAACTAATATCTTTCCAGGCTTAATACAACAATGACTTTGAATAAAGGGTAGTGTAGATGTCACATGAGGAAGAAAAGGACAGAACTGATCATTTTATCCTTCTCCATAAAAGGAGGCATCCACCACATTTTAAGATGACCATAATTTCCGAGAATATAAGCTTTTGGACAAGAGTATGATCACCACTATGAATTAACACACAACAATCAGTTACATGCAGACTGCCTCCTCGTTCACGTCATTGCTGCGAACAGTAATCCAGTTCTCACCGAAGTTTTCAATATATTGGCTCGGAAATCCATCTTCTGAGAGGTCAGGAGAAAGGATGAGTCCATATGGTCCCACTGCACTTATCTCTTTCTATTTTTCTACAGTCTCACCAAGAGAACTGGTTGAACTGGGAACAAACGCCACTAAGCATTAATTCCCCTTGAAACTTCCACCCCTCGCACCCAGACTAATTCAGAGCAGTTAACTTGCATGTCCCTGGGAGGTGAAAAAAACCGAAGTCCAAGCAAAAGCCAAGACAAACTCGGGGAGAACATGTAAATTCTGTTCAGACAGGAGATCCAGACAGGAGATCCAGACCGGAATGGAACTCTGAGACTTTGAGCTGTGAGGCAGCAATGCTGCTGTTCTGGCATACACGGTACTTGGTTAAAGAAGAAAAACATGTTGGCCTGTATCCAGCTCTGTGCTGTCTGCGATCGAACCCGCGAATTTGGTATTAATAACAAGAATAGGAAATGGGGACTCCCCTTCACCACCACCAATGTGCAGCCCCACCTGGATGATGTGACGGCAGCCATAGTGCGCCAGAACGCTCACCACACATCAACTCTCAGTGGGGAGGAGAGCAGAGTGATGAAGCCAGTTTATAGATGAGGATTATTAGGAGGCCATGACTGGTAAGGGCCAATGGGAAATTTGGCCAGGACACCGGGGTTACACCCCTACTCTTTTCGAGAAATGCCCTGGGATTTCAAATGACCACAGAGAGACAGGACCTTGGTTTTACGTCTCATCTGAAGGACTGTGTCTTTTTACAGTATAGTGTCCCTGTCACTATACTGGGGCATTAGGACCCACACAGACCGCAGAGTGAGCGCCCCCAGCTGGCCCCACTAACACCTCTTCCAGCAGCAACCTTAGTTTTTCCCAGGAGGTCTCCCATCCAGGTACTGACCAGGCTCACATCTGCTGAGCTTCAGTAGGCTGTCTGTTGCGAGATGCAGGATGATATGGCAGCTGGTATTGCTATCACCACGCTCGGATCAATTCAACTAACTGGCCCTCTCTTATTCCCTACATGTAACTTGGAAAAGATGGATATTCCCCAGCCAAGGCAGTGTTTTAACACTACGGGATGAATGAATACAAATGTATTTTTTTCACTTACAGTTTTAAGTGAGTAGAACTACCTGTATAAAGCACATACATTTCAAAAGTTTCAGTAAGCGTACCTAACCCAATTAATCAATGTCACAAATCTTAATTTTCTTTCTACCTGAGCTCTTAATTGCCACAAAATTAGCTATTACATTAACTGAAACCATTTTAATGCATCTGTAAGACCAAATGGAGTTTTACTGCCAAGCCTTGAGTAACGAGTTACATTAGGCTTTCTGTAACGTATCCCATTAGCAGGCCCAGTGCTTGAGGGTGGTCACAGTCCTTCGGCTTTCACAGCTACTTTTCAATTAAAAATGAATTAGAGCCTTAAAAGCAGGAAATTTCACTTCAAACTCCATTAAGTAATTAAGATTACAGATAAAATACCTAGTCCATGAAGGTATTTTAATATAAACCCTCAAGATGATATCTCTCTCCCTTTTACAGAGACACTATTCCTAAATTTGTAAAGACTGACCCATAAAACACCTGTCACATCAGCAGATTACAGCAAGTAGACAGGTGTGTCGATTTTATTTCACATCCTCATGTTGTATAACAAATTAGCATGAAAACTCAATTTTCTCTCATCTTGATTATCTCAAGCTACACCTCAGGAATTGTTTCAAGATTGTTTCAACTCTAGAGATGCTAGTAACGCTCGGAATTACTTTCTTTGCTGAATTTTCTTCCAGGTTAATCCAGGAAAACTCATCCTTTGACTAACAAAGTAACCATTACATAAAGGTGTCTGTATTAAAGGCCCTTAAAGCAGATGAAATGAGTTGCTTCTCTGAAAATAATTGTGGAAAAAGCCTTCAAGGCATTAATGTTTGAATAGGTGTATGAAAGATTACTGGTACAAACTGGAAACGTGGTTTGGTAAAAATACTTGTCTAATGAAACAATGCCTTGAAAATGGATAAGTAATTTAAACCTGTCATCCAGATTTTGATGAAAGCTGTGAAAAACACAACATGTGTACTAGAACCAGGTCATAACAAAACAGAGACGCACAGATTTTCAAAGTTAAAAGACTCAAACACTTGAATTACATTTTTTTAAATGTTGTGAAACAATTTCAGTTACAGTTACAAATAGTTGTTTTTCAATATGAAAAATATGAACAGTAGAAATCGGCTATACCATAACTGCTGCATGTGTAGTATACATCATGCCACAAATTATCAGAATACCAGTGCAATTCATCATGCCCTGTTACACGTTTTCTGGTTGCATGCTGAAGTATTCTGGGGATGTTTTTTAACAACAATTTTCATAGAATGTATCACCGTGGCTTGATTAAAAAATATTAGTGATTATGTAACAACCTTAGCTTGATAGTTCCCCAACAATTTAGGACATCTACTCATCTTTTAGTTTCCAACAGCTTTGAACAAAGAAAGAATGACGTTTATCTTTGAGCCCCGTAAGAAGATGAATTACTTCACTGTTCTATTTTCTTTCTGCTTTGAACTGAGCAATAAGTCAAACAACCCCAAAACACTTCTGCATTATCGTTGGACACCACTGCAGTGCTTTTCTGCTGTAAAAACAAAAAAAAGGTAAAACCCTTGAAAGTTCTGTACATAAAATTAATCTAGTGCACTTTTACAAAACTACAGAACAGGTACAGTTAACACAGGAGAACAGAGATGGAAAAGACTCAGAAAGCACTGCAGGCTTTACACAAGATGATCAAGACAATAAATGCCTAAACCTGACATAAGCCTTGGGCCTTGGAGGAAGGCTTTAAGGGAAGTGTTGGCACTGTATAACATATGCATTGTTGCTACTGGTCTTACCTGGGGGGTATCCTGGGCTTCCAGTCTGGTAGAGATTGGGTGTATAAGTGGGAGCTGTGGTAGGGTATCCTCCTGGATAGCCTGAGGACACAAGAAACTGTTTTCAGAACATGGCCTTATGGAACAATCAAAGCTCTGCAGAGAATATGAAAGAGCAACATTTTAGAGCTTCGGAATAATCTCATCCCATATTATTTTGATTTGTGGATGCCCGAGGGCGTTGCGTCCTCCAGCAGAGATTACCCAGCAACCAGATTACTCCAATTTGTCCCACAAAGAAGAGCCTACACTTCCAGTTCGTGCACGGAAAACCAGCATGTGAAAAAGTCCCCACCCATCTCTGCGCACAATCCACTTTTTATACCATCTCAAGCTCCTGGAGATCAGTAACATAGCCAGGGGGCCCAGTGACTGTAGGGACACACGTGGTGAAGTGAGCCGCTGGTCACAAGCTTATATAGACAGAAGAAGAAAGGAGGACACGACCGATGCTGGTGATATCAGCCTGGCATGAGTGAAATATAGAAAAAAACTTAACAAATGAATGTGGCTCTCTCACACAATATTTTAAACGTGCCTTTGTTTAAAAATAAATACCCGTAAAAAGTCCCGCTGCGTGTTACTTCAATGTATCTTCAAGGCACTCCGATACACAGCACTCGGCATACAATTTGATAGAGAAACATCACTACTGTGCTTCACAAGTTTCCTCACTCAACTACAAAGCAGCACCCGAAGGTCAGCATTAGAATCTGTAAACTACCCTCCTCAGGCATATCTGCAAACCGAAACACTGACCTTCATTTGCTGTTCAGGGAATGAATCACACTACAGTATGAGCAGTGTTTTACTGTATTGATTTTATGCTTTTGCTTTTTACAGAAAAACTTGAGTTTGCATTTGTACTCAAAACGCCAAAATATGGTGTCATTCCACAAGTCCTCTCTTGAAAGAACATGAAAGAATACTAATCTTACTTCTGACAAAAGCAAGAAGACGAGAGATGTTTCAGACAAGGCTAAAAATGGACTAATTAGAAGTAATTCCCAACATGAACGATGTGAGTTATAGTGAAAAGTGTTTTACATTAGGTAGTTAAGGCTTTTAAAACAGGAAAAAAAAACAATCAAAAAAGTTTGATGCACAGTAAAATGTGATTCAGAAGATTTTAAAACCACATAATTCTATTGTTATATGCAAATTAAAACCCAAGCAGGACTGAAGAGCTAAAGGGCTTATTCTCATTCTTGCCTTTAGTGCTAATGGAGTAAAGTCTATCTACTAGCTTTGTATTATATTTCTTTCTTCATCTCCCCATTAATCCACCCAAATAGCGCTTCATTTCACCAACCGTTAACAGGGCAGCCTTCCTTTATCTGTTAGTGTGTGAAATTTCTCATTTCAGCTTCGCTCTGCAGCAGCTCCTTCAAGAATCCTAGAATCTGAATATGACTCACTCCAGAAGTACAGGAATATGGGCACACATGACTTCTACCATTGACGGATCTCATTTCGCCAGCTTGCAGGAATTTAATCAATATGACATTGTGGTGGCAGACCCACTCAAGAGAGCACACCCTCTGTGTCTCACTGGAGGCCAATCAACTTTATACAACTCAGAAAATTAAGATGAATTTAAAAAAAAAGAAGCTTTTTGTAGAGAAACCCAGCTTCCTCGAGAAACAAACAAATATAATCATTATTTCCTTCCAGACTGCTGTTATTACACTGTGAGATATTGTAAAAAAATGAATGGAATGGTGTTAACCTTTAAAGAGTTTTCACTCATCTCTGTCACAAATGATTTCCTCTTGGAGCATCCTTGGCATCTTATAATTGGTTCCTTGCTACATAATAACAGTGGCTACTGACAAAAAAGCAACATACATGCTTAAGACATGAATCTGGTAGAAGCTGTGTCACAGCTGCAAGTTAAGATGTTTTAAATAGAAAACTGAGGAAGGTCATCACAAATCAGTTCTGATGCTCCTTTTTTCCCCCCACCAGTTTCTGAAGGGACAAATTTAGCTGTTCTGAAGCCAAGTAGTAGCACTCTCTCTCCCTGAGCAATTAAAATAAAATCTGTTCCTCTTCCCTGAAGCTCTCCAGAGGACAAAAGCCAGCTCGAGGTTATCACAATAAGAACCTTTCTTCACGACTGCGGAAAAGGTATTTCAGACTGCCTCGACATTCATCACCTCAGTCTTGGGAATATCATACTTCCCACTGACAGCTCACCACCCCATCTAAAGAAAGTGACACTCCACACGTGAAACATATAGAACAATAGCTTCCTTTTCCAACGGCTCACTGCAGCACGTACAAAGTATTCAAACACGCACAGAAACATTTTCTCTTTGCAAGCTAACCTTTTCAGCCCTAGTAAAAGAATGTAATCTGGCTGAGAACAGCTACAAAGTGTCTTACAGCTCTAACTGTTCTTGGGGCCTAACAGCAGCCCTCTCACTGCAGCAAGACTAATTTCATTTTCAGCACAGCGGACTATAGACTGGCACAATACTGACAGGACATTTCCAGAAAATGGTTATTCAACTGTTGAGTGGGAATGGATGGATGGACAAACCAACATCTACCTTATGGCAATCTAAGAAAAGGCAGCAGAATTGAGCCAAATGTGATTTGAGCAGCCCCCCCCCCGTGCTTGTAGATAAGTGCACAGTCCTTCCTGCAGACTGTTGTTGGCCAGGGAAAGAGCACTGTCCCTGCTGGTCTAACAGGCAACACACTGCTGGCACCTGCCAGGCAGGTGCATCTCTTCAAACGCATACTGTGACAGCCAAGCTCAACAGAGCATCTCAACTAACCCAAACCAACCATACGAAGACTGGCACTGTTGCTCTTTATACACAGACACTTTTTTTTTTGCATCAAGATCAGTGGTCTGGCGATCGGAACCCACAATGCAGGTGGTGTAATGTCAGGCCAAACGTATGACCATCGGCTACCTCCCTTCAAGTCACTCTGGCACTTTCACGCCTTCAAAGAGCCTAATCCTTAAAAAAAAAAAAACATTTAAGATGATGCCGTATGTTCCGTTGGATGATAACCCAAAATATCTACCAGCACCTCAGAGGGTCTGAGCAGAAAAATGGTCAGAGAAATGATTCTGAAAGTTTTATTGAAAAAAAAAGAAACTGCCTTATGGGACCATGTATAATTACAGCACAGTACATAACCACGGTGGTAATTAATAAACATCTAACACAACATGAGGAGCTGCTCATTGCCAGTGATTTACAAAAACGGAATTAAGGCAAATCCCCTGCATTTTCAAAGGCAGGAAAAGTGTGCTTAAAATACTAGTTCCACGGACGCCTGACAAGCCAGAGTCTAAGTAGTAACTTAATTTGGTTTACAATATTATGGACAATAAACCTTCAGACCTCAAGTAACTGCAGTATTCTCCCATTGATCTGTAATTGTCTGATGAACATATAAATTATGTCAATCATAATGTCCAAAGGCGTTTAATGGTGTTGACATCAGTCTATAGCTACATAAAATATAAATCACAGGGAATTAGCAGAAATAACTGAAATGTAGCCCTTGTTAAATTCTTCAGAGTTGGAAAACAAACAATGAGCACTCTGTAATAAAAAACAGTGGTATTAAACAGGCTTGCATATGAACTTTTATGCTTCAGTTTTCTTCAAAAGGTTTTAAGCAATTCTGTAAGGCACCCTTGATAAGATTTAAGCAACTGTTTAAGTGAGACAACAAATGCTTTACTGTCTTGGCCATAATATTTACAGTTGCTCTATACACTGTCATTACAATCAAATATATGAACACCCAGAATTAAGAGCAGACACAACCCATATAAATCTGTAGACTTTTTTTTTACCGTACTGCATTCAGCGCATTGGGAAAACAAGGCATTCATTTCAGGTAGCCAATTTCAACTGGTCACACGTCAATAATTCACCATATAGTAACCACTACAAATGAAGTGATAATAGGGGAAAAACAAACAAATGGAAAACCAATCCTAGAACTTAAAAGTTGTGATGGATGAAGCACTTCTTGATCCTGATGAAGCAAAAACAAAATCAAGCCTGAACACATTTTTAGGGCTAAAAGTTTTTGCCGTTTATTTTCCAGTAACACTTTTAAAACAATCGTTACTGTTCCAGCAATCTCCACATCCTAATTAAGAGGAAAGGACTCCACAATATCCGTGCTGTAGATAATTTTTAGAAATAATTTAAAATATGAAACACTATTTAAAGACACTTGCAAGAAATGGTTTTGGCACATTACAAAGTCCAAGTGTACATCACAAGCTGTTCTTCTGTCCCAGATGGCAGATAGACTCCTAAGCAAACAGGGAGCAAACTGACTGAACATAGGCCAGATGGAGTCCTCCCAGGGCTGGGCTAACTCCCCTCCACCACTCAGTATAGGGAATTAGTTTCTTCATTTACTTAGTTAACAAAGAAAGCAATCAGGGATTTCATGAGACTGGCCTGGGGGCAAACCCAGTTTATTAAAACAGAGGACCACCATCTCACTAGACAGTGCTCTAGAGTCTACTGAGTAGCCCTAGAACAGAGTGGAACATTTGACATGAGAATTCTTTACAGAATACCATTCACCCGTTTTTATCTGTGTTCTCTTTATGTCTGCACCACAGAGGCTGTTATCTACAAAACACACTTCAATAGACAAAGAAATACAGGACACAACACCTAAAGCATTTGCCACTAGGCTAACGTTCTTTTAGGAACAAGTAATAGGTTTATTCCATGCTGAAAAGAGAAGAAAGAAAACACAACGTTTTGGCCGTGGAAACTTCTTCGGCTGTGAGCTGTATTTATATTATGAAAACACCAATTGAAAAGCTGACATCTCTTCAGACTGTATTGCAAAATCACACACATGGACATTTTACTTAGAGGGATCTAAGTAAAATTGCAAAGATTACTGAATTAAAGGAGTGTAAAAGACCACTTCACACATATCCTTCTCAATGAATTCCCTTCAATCGATAGTGGAAATCTTAAGACATGCACAAACGTGCCACTAATCTTATGAGAATTTTCCTTATATTTGTTAAGTGA